TTTTTTAACAGACCTCTAGATTGTTACCAATCAGCGGGCGCTTTCTATGTCGGGTCTTTGGTCAATCAATTTTGTCACGTCTAAACATGGATTAAAATAAACATGCTAGACACAGCAACAAAGGCTTAGGTCATGCGCTTTTACGGTATGTTAGGCGAAACATTCGGCGCAGCTGTTGTATATATTACAAAACACTGGATTCGAATTGACCAATTACAGTTTCAGTCCTGATTTGGGAATGAAATGACTTCACTACTGAGTAATGTCGACTCAGATTGGCTAAGGCGCAAGATCGCATAAATCTGCATGCTTTGACATATCAGACGTTATATAGGAGACTTGGCTCCGTGGATAACGGATGATACTCAGACTGGGGGGGGGGGGGGGGAGAGAGACTTTAAAAAAATATCATGCAAGTGCAGTGATGGCACACGGAGCCAACGAGCTGTGCAACTCGCATGGTCTTTTTTCGTGTCCAGGTTTATGTCCACCTTGACTCAAGTCTACGTGACTGACATGAACGTGTGTGATCTTTTCGATGTTGGAATTTACATACGCAAACGTGTGCAAACGCGACTGAGCAAAAGAGGTCAGTCTTTTGAAACAGTTGGACCATTGCTTGATGATTGGACATGCATACCAGTCTAGTCTTTAGCCTCATTTTGAAATCACATAACTTCCCTCTCATGTGCAAACTACTGAAGAAATGTCTCCTTTAAAAATTGAATTTGAGTCTTCAAACTTGGTTGGTGAAATACTGAGGACCTTTTCTTGGCCCAATGAAAATTTTGGAAAAATTTGCTGGCTGAAGAGCGAGTAAAGTTGGCCCGATTTGTGCACGTTTCAGAACACTCCAGCCAGGTCCCAGTCTACGACTACATATGATAGACCCGCGAACGTGGCGTTGTAACAACGCCATGCTCCGTCCTCGTGTAAATACACTCGGAATCGTCACGCGGCAGGTCATCTCACATATAACCTGTTTAATTTTGCCCTATAGGTTAATCACTTGAACTTGTTAGGTTTTCTGTGAATTTACATGAGTGTTGGTCTGTTGGACCTGTCATTGCCAAGAAATTTGATGAAAATGATAAGAAAATCACTGAGACACGCAAATGGTCCTGGTAGCCCGAGTTCTGCATGCGCAACATGGTGGGAGTCACACGATGGGAGTCCCAAGTTGGTACCCAACTACCCGTCTTACAAGTTACATCAGCCTCGACTCCAGAGGCGCGTGCTCGTTCCTTACACTAACCCCTGGCTGTGATGACGTAAATGACACTGAATGGCTATTCACAGCGTACTGCGCGGGCATTTCGAAGATTGCACGCCAGGCGCCCCCATAATGCGCTTGCGCTCTTAGCTTTGCACGTAACGTCATGTACGAAAAAAAAATTATGATTCAAAAGTCGCGATGTAGGATATGGATTATGTCAGCTGCGTTTTTTGCTAAAAAAAGTCATGAAAGGGGTACGTACATTTAATACATCTTTGCTAATTAACACAACGTCCAAACGTTGTGTTTGAAAGGATTGATTCTTGAAAATCACAACTGTTAACATTTTAAAGATGGCGTCGGCACGTAAAACGAATAAACTGCAGCCCTAATTATAATATACCGTATTTTGATATATTTAAATTACACAATTCCAGGGGTTACGATCGCGCAAGGCATGATGGGAAACAACATGGCACTGCAAGATCGTACCCACGGGGCACGAGGTTGAAGTTACATGGCAGGATGACCGTAATACCAACCATGTTAAAATTCTGCTAAATCAACTTCAAAAATCTGCCAAATCACCCAGTATTGCCGTTCCATTATTAAAGGGTTTGTTTCAGGATCTTTAAAAAAATTAAGCTTTTTCAAACCAAAATATCCTTGACCCTCCATTATCTACGCAGGTATACGCTTGCAAAAAAAGTTGCATACGTGCGAGGATTGTAGAAAAAGGACCGCGTAGCTTTAGGGGGTCTGACGATTACTCTAGCCGATCTAGTCTTAATTTTTTTTTTTTCTTTTTCCTTCAGAACCACCGATGTACATAATTCTGCTGAAAAAAAAAATACTGCTGATCATAGAATTTTCTGTGCAACTCATTTTTGTATGCAAATATTCTGTCAAATTTAGCCAAAATTCGGCTAGTAGAAAGGGGCACTCGGCCGCTGTAACCGCCGGATTACAATGGTGTATTTTTACTGTAGATCGAAGTGGCTATAGCTAGCCACGTTCACGGGTCTAACCCCCTAAAGCTATGCGGTCCTTTTTCTACGCACTAAGTTACATTCAATTTGTGTGTTACAACGCGCGCGCATTGCAAGCGTTACCTGTGTACATAATGGAGGGTCGCGGATACCATATATTGTTGATGTACCCTAACGTGGCGCGGCCCCCAACGTGGCGCACTTTGATTTTTCGCCTGTAGCGCCTACATAGAGCAAAAGTTTTAATTGAAATTTCACAGAAAGTGAAATTTCATCAAGTTCTAAAACACTCCTGTTCATAAATCGCGAGTTTATTTACCCGTAACCAAGTTAGTAGAAAAATTTATTTTGGAGTGATTTTCCGATTTTAATTTTCAAGTGCAAAGTGAACCCTTGGAAAATGCCCCGAAAAATAAGAAAATAATTTTCTGACAAACATCTGGCTGGGTATGTAAGTAGAGATAATAATTGTTTATCACAATTTATCAAGTTTACAGAAATTCTTAAAAAATTGTTGATTTGGAATTTTCCGAGATTTATTCCAGTGCGCCACGTGAGGCATGTTAGGGAACACTCCGCCAATTTGTGCCCAATTTCCGGACGCCACCAGTTTTTGAATTTCGGATTAAATTTTTATGAAACCGAAATCGTTCACAGAGGTTAAATAGCAAGCATTAATAAGCCTAGTACTAGTATTTTACTGCATGAATTTGAGGTTTGTCAACAAAGTCGGGTAAGCTTCGACGTGCGCCACGTTAGGGAACACGACTATAGAGCAAGGAATTTCCAGCATTTAATAAAACCTTACCCTTATCATGGTTGGGTATCCATCCAGTTAATCAGGCATCGAAATATGACTGTGAGGCAGCTTCCACAGTACAACAGGAGTCTCCGAAATGTTATAAATTAGCGGTCAAAAAAACCTTCAGGGGAGACCAAACATAGGCATGCAAACCGCCATGTTCTCGCATACAAAACAACCCTCATTTATGCATCGACCGCCCGCAAATAGTTCCCAAGATTCTCGAAGAAACAAACTAGTAACACATATTGTTCCGCCTTCAATGTCAACGCTGTGGAAACTGCTTTCTATCCGATATAATCTCTTTGACAAACATATCTCATCCACTGTATGCTTAATATACATAAATAAATGTGTAAGTCTCAATATTTTGAAAATTTGTAAGTGTGTAATGTTTGTTTACATGGGGACTAGACCAAGGTCGCGGACGCGGATCGTTGTGAACAGGGCAGGTCACATGCAAATAAGTTGAAAAGGTTTTCTTACACCGGGGAATCCCCAGCACGCAATGCGCTGACCATTATACACACGGCACGGACACACACGTTGAAGAAAACCCGAATGCCCACATTAATCACTTTCTTTCTTGCATTATTATCGGGTACAATTAAAAAGGCAGATATAATAGTTCAAGTCGGGAGACACACGACATTTTAACGGGGAATTTTGGCACCAATAAAATGACGGGATCTTGCTAAACCATAAATGCACCATATACAACTCACAAAACATTACACAAGCGTAGCCAGGGCAACCCTAATATTTTGTAAAGACGTAGTACTGCCCTTTTCCATTTAAGTGCCATTTTCCACCAGTGTTTACCGCCCCAATATTTTTGAAAAGTTCCCTTTTTTAACAAGAAAATGGTGTCCTTATTCGTACCAGCAGCCCTTACGATTACGAGTGCCCCTTTTAATTTCGCAAGTGTGTCGCCCTGAAAAGTGGCATACATGTATAGTTTACGTTAGTGTGCTAATTGTTGGTTTTGATCAGCGCCCACATTGGGAAATGGTATCAGCCCCCCCCCCCCCCTCCAATGCCGAGCATTTTGGATGCAATTGGGCCCGAAAGTGGCGCTATTTAGCCATGTTGCGGAGGCCTGAATAACTGTGAGAGTTCTGCGTATTTTTAAAAGTTTGTTGAAGTATGGGGATTTGACACTGATGGCTATGGGAATTTATTTGATTGGCTGTACCCTCCGAAGGACAATGGTGACAGGGAACCAGACGTGGGTTTTCCAAACCGAAATGGGGTATGGTGAAGTTTTTTTCAAAGTCACGTACTGTAAACTCGCGAGGACATTTTATATGTATTTCACATTATGTATACATATCTGTGTATATATACAGGCTCGTTCTCGTACAGTCGGACTCATAAAATATATATTCGTTCTCGGAAAGTTAAGTGCGATATTTCGTGGAAATGTAGGCCTACTTTTACTTGCATGCACCTTAACACACACTCGTGGAAAAGTACACCGGAGTCGTGAAAAAATGTCTAAGGCCTAAAGTGCACCGGAGTCGTGAAAAAAATGTGTAAGGCCTATAGGCCTACTCGTACTATACTTGTGCTCGTACTCGTGATGACAAAATAGCTGTTGGAAGACATTTTGTTTCCCATATCTTGTTTTCCTTTCTTCCTATATATTGAACTCTCAAACTCCGTAGCGTTTTCTTTATGGGGCATTATATTTCTATAACGACTGACTTGTGGGGTCTATGTGGGGTATATAAATTGTTCCGTTGTGAACACATACTGCCTCACAGTCGTGTTATACTTATGAGTCATATTGTTCCCGCTTTGTTTGTTCATATAGTTGTACTTTTTCATTTTGTTTGCACTTGAAAATGTTCGCTATATCTCCTATAAGGTCACACGTAAACCTCCCGAATCGCAAATCCCCCATTGTATCGTAGGTACACAGCGAATCCAAAGTACCTAATGCTAACGCCCTCCCCAAGCCAGCAGATGCTCATTACATTAACAACCGTGTGCTGGAACCGTGTAACGGCTGCTATAAATTTTCATGACTGAATTTTTACAGTACAAAATACGACCGTAAAGGCCTAAACACCATATTGATTTTTTTAATATCCGTTTATCTGCCGCCAATAACCAAAGACTCGAGTTTAAACTTGCCATCATAAATCATCCACACTCCAAGTATCTCCCGTAAAAATTTAAAGACCAGAATTATATCTCTCTACCTCGGATGATAAAGTTGTTGATAGTTCAAATTTGCATAACCAGCGATCACTGTTCAATTTTCATAAATTGCTTTGGTTGTCAGTGTTTCTGTCAATTTTACCATCTGAAACTATCAGCTCAACCACTGAACGTCGCGTCCGGCACATAATCACAAGTTCCAAGTGAAAAGACTGCAGGTCTTCAGAAAAGGTAAGATACATCAATGTAACATTTCACCATCATTGTTGTTCTTTTTATCTTCGTCCCTACAAGATAAGACATTCAAGAGCTAGCTAAAATTCTCTTCTAAAAGCTCTAGACAGGAAAACAAGTGTGTCGTAATGATACAATAAGGGTGCTTCAATGTAATAATCTTCAGGGACGTAACAACGCATAATTTAATCCTTCAATAAAAGCAATCGATGAAGTGTCACACTATTGTTAATGTGTATAGTTATTTTCACAAATATTTCATTCATTGTAAATTATTAAACGCAGTGTAGATTTCAGGAATATACAACACTCTTACTCCCCAGGGTGATTTACCAGAAACCTTCCTCATCCTTGCATATCCCAACACCATTATAATAAACTTTGCACATAAACAGTTGGACTTATTTGTGGTATGCCTAATCCCACGAAAAGCACAGTCAGTTTACTAGAGCAGCTTATCCTAACAGATTCCAACAAACCCTGGTGTTCGGGATCGTTAGGGTTAACATTGACGTAGAGTATAGCCTATGTACACTTACTGTACATTATTTCAAGAATCAACAGGTATCTACGAATCTACAATTTTCAATACGGCTTTGTTAACATTTGAAGGGTACACACGGGTCGTGACGTTTTAAGAGCACTCTCGGTGGAGCTTCAACTTCAGAATATTAACACGGGTGTGTTTACAGAAAATTCTTGCCAAAAAGAGATGTAAAACCTTCATGTTTAGGGTATGTACGTGACGATTTGTGTACACTGTTGGTGAGCATTCAGAATAAGAATATTAACAACGGGGTATTTACAGGAAATTCTTGCAGAAAGAGTAGATGTGAAAGCTTTTTACATTTCCATATTGCAATTCTGCAATTTTTGTCATATCGCAATTGCCTAATTTTAAAGTAACTTGAAATGCTATGGAACGATGCAAAGAGGGTAAATGTTGCAATGAACTTCATCCTTTTTTATAATCGATGTTCCCATTTATTCACCTTACTGTTTTATTAAGCTAGTTTTTCATGACTTTCATTCTAATGTCCTCCGTGCACAGGCCTATTTAAGTTTTGTCGTCAATATCGGGTAGCATGTTTCACTTAAGTTGCAATTTTCAAAATACAGTATACCTTACCCAAGAGCACGAATTCTTTGTAATGTCACAATCAGATTTTTCTTAACCTTTATTTATTTATTTGATGTGCTGCTATTTGCAAGTTCATACATGACAGTAGGCCTAGATATCAGCTGACTCACTTTTTAACTTTAAGAAATTCTTTTTGTTTTTCATTTATTGGGGGAATTTTCCTTATTATAATTTTACGCTTAGATAAATTCTTAACCCTTTATGTTGATTACGACTCTTCTTCATAGTTTTACGTCTATTCCGAATGACCGATTACATACACAAAATATATTAAAAATATCAAATAAATAACATGAAACCTGAGGTTTAAATAAACCTTGTATATACAAAATATATTAAAAATATCAAACAAATAACATGAAACATGAGCACAAATAAATTAAAAGAACCACGAGCACAATAAACTCACCTGTAAACACTCCACAGAATTCCATCGAAAATGATGCATCTTCAAATAATCATGTACATGTATCGTATTTCCAATTTGCGCACCAACTTGTCAGCATCATAGTTCTCTTAAATGAGTGGACAGCAGATTTCAAGTTGTCCAAAAATGAGCTGCTCGTCAAAATTCCCACGAACATGATGTGGTTCACAGTGTATAGGAATTCCTGATGAACGCCGTTTGGCCACAAGAGCACAAAACCTGCAAATTTCCTTCGCTGTACCACATGAATGTAGACATTATAGGCCCTATGTATCCCACAGTTTTCGCAACGAACGATCTCCATCATCAGTCAGTATAGATTCGTCCTCATCAGCCAAATTCAGTGTCAAGCAGTATCTAATGAAACTATAGGCCTAATACGTGCAGATACCATTCTGTTTGAGGCAATGAGGTTTGTTTTAACGAGTACTTTTGTGCTAAGATAGAAAACACGTACTGTTATTCTATGGGACTGAGATGGCGGTCTGTGACTATTACTCGTATTGTGTTATGCAACTTGAACAAAAGTTATACAAACGCACCTAAAACGCCAGCAATTGTAAAAGATGTATAAGCGCATCAGAAAACGAGCAAAAGGAAATGTGAATAGACCGCAAGAATCTTCATTAATTCAGGAACGTGGGGAATGAATATCCCTGGGAACTCAATTGAATAAAGTGTGTGTGTGTGTGTGTGTGTGTTTTTTTTTACAAAATACATGGTGTAGTCGGAGAACTGACCATAACTGTATCTCGTGAGATTTAACCTTTTTAAGACAGTCGAAAACCAATTAATAAAGGTATATTGCATGCGACTTTGGGAATATTTTCAAATTATCTCTTAAAGGCAGATAACCAAAAAAAACCCAAACTACCATACAGTTTTATTTCATTCAAAACGATGCATTGGTACAAACGCTATGCTTCATCAAACTGAAGGGTCAACATTCGAGTCATTATTGTTCATGAGCAAGTTTGTCAGTCTGTCTGTCTGTCTGTTTTTGCTTCTGTTGGCTTTATTCCAGCGTACCCCACAAAACATTCATTTCCTTTTTAGTTGACTCAAAAAAGTTTTTGTCTCTACCCATTCCAGATGTTGGCTATTCTGTTGACGGTGTGCACGCTGCTGATGGGTGCAGCTCTTGCAGCGGAACATTGCACGGATCCCGTGTCGTATATCGGTATGTCAAATGTTGACCCAATTAGATGCCGTGTTATAGTAACTTGCATGATTTTTTGGAATAGTTTTTTACAATCTTTGATTTAAAAAAAAAAACCAGAACATTTTCTCCCGTTTTGAACCCCAAAGTTACGTCGTTAGCAGGGGCGTAAGTGCCGTTGGGAAGGGTATGTCCCCTCACTTTTTTTTATCATATGGTGGGCCACGTGATCGGATTTTAGTGGTTACACAAACCAAAACATGCAATTTTGTAAATTTTCAACGGTCAAACTTTGTTAAAAATCTTTGGGGGAAAAAACCAGAGAACCATCAGTACAAAAGGATTCAATGTGGTGCCCCCCCCCCCGCCCGCGATTTTTTTCTCCCAAACGACATCCGCATACATGGTTGTTTAGCGCCCTCTGCGATACTTTTACGATACGCACGCAGGTATATAATTATTTGTTTCCCTGGTTGGTTTACTGAACACGGAGCTAGTGTGGTTTTCGCGATTCAACTGCACAATAAAACACAGTAATACGCCAAAGGACGACAAATCCAAAGAAACGTAAACGTGAACGTTATTTTTGTTCCGATTGAGACACTGATAAAACGTCGCAATCAAATTAGTTTTTTTCGGAGGTCTTGTTTCATCAAGTGTCTTGCCAAAATGTCACAGTCCTATCTGATAAAAAATTGTAGTCTTTTTTCTGTCGATTTATTGTTATATCTCCAATATCAAAAACTTATTTGTAACATAAAAAAGTGATTGCAAAGACGTCTTCCGGTGAGCTGTTTTTACCCCAAAAGAGACTGGATACAATTCGGCCACAAGAGGGCGTGTTGTACGAGCTAAAGCACGGACATGCGCACAAGCCTATTAATGTTGCCCTGAAAACAGCGGTGTCTCGTCATTGGTACGGTGGATTTGGTCAGAATCAAATCAGGGCATAAATGATTATTGTGCGCATGCGCAATTAGATACACCGCCCCTAAAGTGGTAACAAGCATTTTGATGGACATTTGGAATTTTTTTTTTAAAAATCCAGGGTGATAACACCCTAAAAGCTGCCACCACTGCAATGCTATCACATATATTCCAACTCTGGAGGTGTATACATTGCCAAAAAACGCTATGACGATTGTTTTTCTTATTTGGTACCGGTGGCCAAAAATGTTGACCGAGGCTGATGGACTGAAGGGCGTTGCACACATAATTATCACAGTATGCCATTGCTAGGCCCAAAGATCCTATAGCAGCATATGTGAATATACGTACCGAATATATTCTTCAATCAACTGATTATCAATTTAAGAATGCAACATGATTTCCCATAAAATTATGATGAAAACTTATCAAGTTGTTGACTTTTTTAACCGCGATAAGCTATGCAGAGATTCACGTGAGGGGTCCTGAACGCCGCGACTCAGCACTCTAAAATGGCGGCGGCTCGGCTCCATGACGAACATAAACACGGTGTTAGTGTTCAAAATTCCATAACTTGAAAAAGTACATGAGTGATTTGGATGATTCTTGTACTAGAAAATATGTAGTCATACTAGACCAAATTATATTTGGTCTTGAATGACAAGTTTTGGTTGAATTGAGCAGCACGATGTTACATTTTGCTGGAGTTAAATTTCATTCCCCAGTATACATGTATACACTTTTGGTTGTGGGTGTTCGACACATACCTCGAAATCACCCGGAAAGGTGGGGGGGGGGGTCGATTCAATAGCCCATTTCCCTTGTCAAAAAGTGTGTGTGTGTGTGTGGGGGGGGGGGGATAATATACGCCCATCCCCCGGGATTTAAGCCACTGGTCTTGGGCCACTTTCCTTGAAACGCAGTTAAACACACAAATAAAGGATGGGTCAACTATAATGGTGCAGCTTATCAGTTTATCATGCGAACAAAGGATTTTTGGAAGAACAGGAAATATAATTTCAGAAAAAAATGGCTTAAGTGGTTTTCAAGTCCCGTTTTGTAATTGTTGTACTATCTTTTGAACAAAACATCTTATAATGAAACCAACTAAAAAGCATTTGGAACGGTCCTCAGCAACAATTAGACATCAAGTTTGAATACTGCCTCCACTTTTAACAAACGTGCCCGATTCGACATTTTTTTGTGTGGGACAGACAACCTGTACAATTTCTTCCGCCTAATTAAACATGTAAAACAACAGTCGTGGAAATTTGGGGAAAAGGGGATCAAGACATGGAGAAATGGGGTGAGCAGACTCTCCACCGCTGTTCCAGAGGCTCACATTGTTGAGGGATGTAAGCGCACAAGTTTTGATTACATCTGCATTTTTGTCTTGTGAACAGGAGTAGTCACTTTGGTGTCCCCCCCCCCCCCCCCCCCCCGCTTTCCGAAATTCCACGACCGGCCCTGCGCAGGCTTTTGCGTTACGGTCATTCCGCCCCCCCCCCCTCGCCGACACGGATTTACACAACTTGTCGTTAGATTCCCTTATATGCTCAAAAATAATTATTACCAATGGGGAGATCGTTATCTTGTACAACCATAATATATTACGTACGCTAAAAAATCACTCAGGTTTATAGAACCAAACAATTTGACAATTCTGACGAAAAGGTGGTTGGCAAATATCACGTGACCAACACATTTATATCAAAAATGTATAAAGGTAAAGAGGATGAACCTGAGTTCACAGGAACGGAGAGCCCATCTCTCTTTCGTTAGCCATTGGGCCAGACTCGAGTCCATGAAATCCTGCTGTGGAGTCGTGCACATGGCAACATTTCACTTTTTTAAAGAACACAAAACATAAAGTTTATAGGGATCGACCTCGGAAAAAAGGCGACACATGCGATCCGCGGATTACTTGTATAAAACCGTCGACATTCATCAACGGATAGGTATCACACCCTTCTCTTTCATTTTTGTTGTCTTGTAGACGTCAAACTGTCCTTCACTGTAGGGATCAACGATCAGTGTTCGCAATGCTCGTTGCAGCCGTGCACCTTGCTCCAGTTGATGGCCGCCCATAGGCAACAAGCATGGAGTTTGCAGTGGCTCAAGTATTCAGAACCCGGCAAATTGGCCTGGCTGGGAAATTGCACCGACCCGACCATCGCAGATGACATCTTCGACTGCTTTTACAACGGCCCCGCCACAGGCATCAACGGAATCGCCTACAAGGCCGACCCCAACCCAGTTCACAGCATACAGCCGTACGCCTGCTGCGACTTGGTGGAGAATTTCTACGTGAGCCATGCGACCTTCCCATCGGCAGACAAGGGGGCCTTAGCCTGCGAGGTCGGCGGGGCGGTGGCCTGTAGCTACGAGTACTTGCAGCGAGTTGTCAGTAAGATGCCGGCGGCCACGTTCTTCACGCCGTACGCTTGGTATAACAAGTTCAACGAGGCAACGCGCAGGGAACTGGGCGGCACGGGACTCGCGCCGTCCGTGCAGGGGGCCGTCGGTGGGGGGCACGAGCAGTTCTGCTGTGGGAAGCTGTCCCTTCAAATGTCCGACTACGTCGATTATACGACCTCAGGCACAGAAAAGCTGGACAATTGCACCGCTAATATGGGCGAAGGGGTCCACGTCTGCAACCTGAATGAGCTGGACAGAGCTTACGAGTTAGGGTTTCGCTATGACCACGAGTGGGCCCTCTTCGCCCAACACACTCGGGCTTTCAAGGCTGGCAAGGCCAACTGCGGCGGCGCAGAGGTCCCGCAGTGCTACCACGATAGAATCGCGGTGGATAAGAATACTGCTATAACCTCGCAACGGCAAATGCGCATCGCTTGCTGCGGCCCAATCTAGGTCATCGTAAACGGATCACTTTAATTATATGTAGGCTTGTACTCAGACTGGATTTTGAATGTTGTTCCCCTATAATGCAGCGATGACCGAGCGCTCGGTCGAGCTGTCCCAACGGAAAATGGAGCTATGAACAAGATGACGTCTGATTCCTTTCGGGGAAGTTTGGCATTCGACCCTAGATATTCGATTCATCTTGTTGAAAGCTTTCTCGACCACCGTGGTGGCTTGTCCAGGCTTGCCCTGTATCGGCTGCATTAAAGGGACCAACAACTAAATCCGGTCTTCGTCCAAAACTACCAAACCAGCCCAAAATCTAGGAAAATGCTGCGCCAACACCGCAACATAAAATACCGCAAACTTGCTTCAAACAAAAATACATGGACATCATTTTTCGAAATCTCGCCACACAGCGAACACGACATATAGTGGAGTTTCCGGTGGATGTAGCCTATTCACGTGTTTGGAAAAAAAAAATCCGTTTCTGGCGCTTGGTGGCGCCATACCCCAACCCAGGCCAGAGCCTTGATCCCGACTCAGTATGCGACGTATAACATTGGATGCATTGTATGCTTGATATGTTTGTTGAAGGACCGGGAAAGGGCATGCTGCCATATAACTTGATTAAAAGACGATCGTTTTGAATTTTTGTACATGGTTGATTTTTAAAAAGGGGTACATGCCCTTTCCCCTCTCGAAAACAAACGTCATGCGGTTTACAATATTTTCACACTCAATTATATTTAAGGTGAGGGGACATTATTTTTGTGGGTCATTTATAAGTTGGCCCGACAAATGTTTTGAGTAAAATTGGTGATGGTTTCAAATTTGTTTGAAAGGGTGAAGGGTTGAAACAGTTGTATTGAAAACATTCTTTAAAATTATGGTATTAAAAGCAAAACAAAGAAAAAGTCGTTTCTTGTTTCTGTGGGAGGGAACTTGAAAATGTGTAATTTTTCATGATGTTGTTTTCTATATCTTTGTCGATCCTGCTAACTTCCTCAGAATGGACCATTGTCATGTTGCGGCCATCTTGATTTTTTCCCCATTCAAACCATCGTTCCAAAGCAAGACTGGAAGGAAAGAATAGTTTGGTTCCTTTTTATCATGCTGCCACCATTACTGTCATGTTCCCTGTATCCAATAACAGTACTGAATTGGTTCTTTTTTGTGCAATAAGGAATCAGACTATTTTTCCTTCAAGCCTCGCTTTGGTTACGTTGAATTGAATGGGAAACAATCAAGATGACCACAAGAAGATAATGGTATATTGCAACGGCACTTTCAACTATGTCAGTAACTTCAAAGACACCGATAAACATTCAAAGGCCACGTGTTTTTCTTCGTACCAAAATCAAAAGCACCGCTGAAAATTGAAGTCATATCCTCATTGTAAATATGCGGTGTAATAGCCCTTGACGAGTCAAAATGAAGATGTACGGCACGGTACATATGGACCTATATTTGGCTCTCAAGCACCTTTTACCTGATGTATTTTGAAATAAATCGCTGAAATTGATACCTAAAAAAAATTAAGAGAGACCGACACTTAACACGTACGGATGCATGCTACGTTCATTCCATGACAACGAGAGTAGTTCGCGTACCTCGTTGAACTTTGAAACTTTGTAAAAAAAAAACGGGGGGGGGGAACGCATACGTTTTCATATTTCCCCGCGGTTGGGAAACATGTTTTTTTTTCTGCAGGCAGGTATAGGAAGAAAAAAAAACTATGGGTGCGTACGAGTAAGTGAAACTTACACGAGATCGTTCGATTTATAGCCATCACGTGATTCTCTTGTCTGCCCCGGTGTCAACCAGCACTGCCCCAGCTTGCGAGCGGGTGGCTGCCCGAGTGTGTGACGTAAGCGGACCATTTCGTTGATAAGATTAAAGATGACGGGAACTTGAATACGAAGTGAGTACAGTGGAAAGATTTATGACACAAATATGGGCAATTATTAACGGCGTTCAAATGAATGGACATTGTTTGATAATTCAGAGCATATCCTCCGACTTCAGCAATTCTTAATCCGGTTACACAGTGATAAAACTAACTTGACAAGTCAAGCAGACGACAGCAGGCTATGCCTGGTGAATTAGCAGTTAAAAGTCCAGCCCCAAAATAACCTTTGACCTTAATTTTCAAGAATGCCTTGGCAAATACAACGCAGCGTTCGAAGAGCCTCATTTTGTGGCTTCCCCGGGTGTAACCCATGTATACACGGGGAAGCTAATCAAACGCACCCTATACTACACATGCGTTAAACATACCAGGTGATTGAAACTAGTAGATCACGTGATTTGGAATGACTTTAAGGTTTAGGCCAAGACACCATGGCCTTGTGGTTACTGCAAGCTTCTTTTTTTTTTTTTAAATACACCCTACTGGACGCCGTAGCGCCGAATCCCGGCGGCTTCGTTTTCCCCTAAATGTTTAGTTTCTTTCTTTAATCTCTTTAACCAAGTACCATTTTTCCGTTTCATGGCTCTGGAAGATTTTTACCGCAATAAAGCGCGAGAATTAAACAACTGACGCATGCGCAGTATGTTCAGTGACTATACTTGGTTGTAGGAAAAAAAGTACGAGTGGTGGGGAAGTCGGTGCGCCGTTAATTGAGCTTGCTGTACGGCGCGAGTGTCAGTAAGACTTGCGTGCATGCAAAGTCAAGTTGTACTTTAACCGAAGGTGTATTTGCGCAACAAATGAACACGACACACACACATGACATACAAGTCTTTCGAGACCATGATCCAAACTCTCATATCGGTTGACAGTACTGCATACGTGCTACGCGTTAACTGTGGATATTGGAGGTTTACTCCCGATCGCTGTGAAGTGAAATACGGAAGGCCATCTGCATGAGTAAGTTTTTTTTATTGGCCAGGACTCGCGACAGAAATGCTGAAGGTTGAGCTTTTTCGACGGTAGAAATTCACCAGCGGAACGCCTGCTAAAGACGCGTCCGCCGCAGGCCGGCTCAACAGCAAATGGAAAAAAAAACTCAGCTCGGTTTTTTTTTTTTACAAAGTACCAACCCGGTCACTGTTTTTGAAATTATAGGATTTTCCTGAAATCCATGGTGAGGACTTCATCACTGTTGCAATACTAAGAGGAAAAAAAGCAGAACCAAGAACTTCGAAATGTATTCCTTGCCACTTGTGTAAAGATTGCGCTTGATCAAAGAGACGTTTTACTGCGGCGTACGCGCAAAGCCCTAAGTTGAATGGTTTAAAAACAAACTTAAATGAAGTTTCAAATTTCCAGAATCTTCTGTTAATTTAGATAGGATTTGTTTATGAGACATACACTCTGAATAACTGAGCTGGATTTAGATAATACGATCTAACTTTGGAGTCATGAATGAAACACCAAACGAAACCACTACGTGGAGTACGTCTACGGACCAAGTCGCGGTGACCAGGACCAATCAGACATGGGCCAGCGAGGTTCCGGCATTATGGGCCGTGTCTCCCGGGGAGGTTGCCCTCCGCGTCACGCTGCTGCTGGCGATATGCGGAGTCGGGGTGACTTTCAACTTGCTGAATGGGCTGATGCTGCTCAAATCGAAGCGGCCCACAACCACCATGCACCTGCTCATGTTCAACCTGGTGGTGGTGGACCTGACTATGTCGCTCACCTGCATCCCGTTGTCTGTTTTCTTCTCGGCCAGCAACGGGGCAGTCCAGGTGCCCGACGAGCTTTGCAAAGCTTCTGGTAAGTAGGCCTACTTGAGCAAATATATCACAGTAGTAGTTTTTGTCTACCAGTGGGCAAACGTAAAGGCGAATCCCCCAAAAACCAACTCTCTGTTTTTCATACACTATTATAACCAAAGGACACCACTGGAAACCAAATGAAGATTCCAATATCTTAATAGTAATGCATGTAAATGCATGTAAATGCGTGTGACATTTTTTGGCAACATCTGTTGCCAACCATGGTTTAAATTTATGCCATTGATTGCCACCAACACAAAATGACGCTCTATGCTTAGAGACATATGACAGTACCTCCATTTCAGAGTAAAATATTGGTAGTTTATGGAGCTGCAGATATTTGAACAAGCTTGTGTCAGTCAACCGAACATTTTCTCAAAAACGAGAAACCTCTAAAAAGTCGCAATATTTGCAAGTGAAATAAATTACAATAAACAACCGTTTTTTACTCAACAGGATGTTGCGAAATTTTAACGATATTTTATTAAACTGACTGGATTCGCTGTTTTCAAGCTCTGGCTGGAAATGTTACATGTCACTTCGTGGTTGGTCGGTTGGTCGGCCCGTCGGTCTGTCCCCAGAAAGTTGACCAAAAACACGTCCCCTATAGTTTCCCATAAAACACCAAATTTTGATTTAAAAAAATAAGCAAACAAACTAAATGACATACTTCTCGAAATTGTTTGTAACAATTCGTGAAGTTGTTTATGAAAATTCTGTAAATGGAGAAAAAAAAACAGAGGGCGCGTGGGACGGCGTGTGGGATGCCGCGGCCCCAACCTCGTCCCCAGGGTGTCGCGCAGTACGCGCCCACCACTACCTGCTCTCTCACCCTGGTATTGGATCATTTGCATGTGCAAGATTTTTGCACACGTATGCAAATGAGAACAGTCTGGTGCCTGGATATGCGTTACACATTAGCGTTTGTTTTTGTATGCGATGTCTGGGGTAAAAACAGAGTCAATTTGTCGCAGCGCGAGCACGGCGTGAGTTACGAATACACGATTTTTGAAATCAAACTGTTACGATCTTATCGAGACAACATGCAGTATCATATTTCATATTAATATGAGCAAATTGGAAAGGAAATTAGTATTTTCGAGAAGGCGTGGACGAATGATCGCGAAAACACGTACTGCACGTTGTGAATATATAGCACCAAGTACACGATAAAAATCCATTACTAGCCAATTGCGGTATCCAATCAGGATACAGGAAGAAAGTTTCCTATCCAGGGTTTACTATTGGAAACACGGTTGGAAATTAAGTAAGCACTGGGGACGAGGTTGGCCGCGGCCCGGGCTCGTATATATACGCACAATCTCCGGTCAACGTTATAGACTTTCATGCAAGACGGTCATAGCTTATTGTGCAATTGCACTTGTTTATTCTCGTTGTACTTGAATGCAACCGGTAGTAAAGTACACTTCTTTTGGATGTTGACATAATTTCAATACGCATTGTAGATCATTTTCAAACTTTAGAAAATGTAAAACTTTCAGAAGGAAAATTGAACATATTATTTCTTTAACAAGACTAGGCTGGTGGTGCCTAAACCTTTTCAAAACAAAAAATTCTCAGACCCAAGCCTTCATAAATTTTTAGCCTCGAGTCTTGCGCATCTTTTGATACCAAAACCATAAAAATGTTTCGGCGCTTCGCGCCGCGAAAACTGAATTTCCCCACAAAATGTAGTGTACACAAAGCAGCTTACAATTATTGGTGCATATGAATAATTAACGAGCCATAATTCCTAAACCCTTCAACCTATAGTCATGAAATTTCTTGGGTATGTTCATATTCAATAATGTTCTATGCATATACAGAGTTTGGCTGAGATCTGAGGCCCCTTCCCCGGCTCTGAGATGGTCAAAATAACCCGGCCCCTTTAGGGTTAAGTCTCAGCTACAGGCACTTTTTTTGTACTCAGCAACCCAGTCAATCAGTCAGACAGATATATAGTCTGTGACTCAGACAGCAAAAACAACCCAACAATTTGCTGTTTGTATTGAATGTAAATTCTGAACGATCGATGGTGGCATTCCATATGCTGAAGGGAGTGGGACCCACATGAGTATGGTCAAGCACGCGTAAGCCTGTACTTGACCTCAATACCAAACCATCATTAACCAACCCACATCTCCGACTACGATTTCCGTGCAAAGAAGCAATAAAATTGCCTTTAACTGACTCGGTTGCTGCACAACAGCAGAATGTAATTAAAAAATCAACGCTAGAGATACCGTTTGGATTTTAATTATTGAGAAGCTTCCTTGCTGCAGATGTCATATGCAGTCCTTTTCTGAAATTATGGTTTATGCTTTTGGCCCCATTAGGGGCTTCAAATAAAAGGTTTGAATAGAGCCTGTGACTTTAAAAACCGAGGTCATTTTGAAGTGTGTATTACTCGATGCGAAGCCATGCTTTGAAAAATGTCCTGGTCAACTGACCAAGAAGAAAGGCGTGTGCCTTAAAGATGATGCACATTCATCCCGAGTTTGCCAAAATTTAGTGTTTTCCCACGCGAAAATCACGCTGCGCTATCGCGCTCACGTGTCCCCGAAAATTGACCAAAATAAGCTCCCAAGTTGCCCATGAAATATTATACAAATAATGAATGTTTGTGAGTGCAATGGTAAGAATAATTTCATGAGGTGACGGATGAAATGTTCCATTCCACGAGGCGAAGCCGATTGGAATGGAGCATTTCATCTGTCACCGAATGAAATTATTCTTTCCATTGCACGAACGTGAAACATTCATTATTTGTTTTATATAAAACCTGTATAAATCCTTGTCATCTGATTGGTTGACTTTTAATAGCCGATTTATTGAGGTTGAAAACTGTTTAAAAGTTCGACAAGTTCATCATATTTATATTAATGCAAACTATTCGACAGGTTGAGAACAATCATATTCAATTTATCAATTTATCTCGATTTAAAACAGCGCCACCACCAGCAGCAGTGACAGCGTGCAATGGAAGTTCTATTCACCGTGCAATCTAACTTCCATTGCACTGAGCGCTGCGCGCCACGCGCGCGCCGTGCGTTGGCACGAATAATTCAATGACATGTGATCAACGATCCTCCAATCAGATGACGGGGATTTATTCAGGTTTTGTATAAAGCGTGCTATATAGCGTGGTATCTGGAGCACTATATACCACGCGACTATAACATAACTGCACATATTTTCCCTCCATTTACAAAATTTTCACAAACCGACCGACCGGCCACCAAGTGACATGTAGAAGCTCCTGCCAGAGATTAAACAACAAACGGTGCGTTTACATCACGGCAACCATTTTCTAAAAGTTAATATAAACACCAAAAGATGAGCCAAAGGTGTCAACACAACTGTACCTTAAAATTATGTGCTTTTTTATGCAATTATCACGCGATGGATTTTCGGGTACAGAGTTTTGGTCCTCATCAATCGAGCCGTTTTTCTTTCAGTTTAATACACATGTCTCTTCTCGAAAACGTTGTTTTAAACACAGGTGCTATCACTGTTTTTTCCCCACTGTTTTTACAGTGAGATGGCACGTACTTCGTGTGAATCATAAGGTTGTGGGTGAACTGAACAGTTTACAGACCGAGGGCCAGGGTGAGCTCATCACGCGTATGCTCTTTCATAAATACATATCAACTAATGTGTGTAACATTCTTCTCTTTTTTTCAAAATTGGAGACTCTCCCATTATTTCACGAAGGCCTACGGTAAATCAGAAAAGGCACAGGGTTAATACATCATCTCTACAAATCAGATTAAACCAGCATGGAAAAGTACACTCTGGGCACACGGGAAACAAAAATCCGGACCAAACGTTGGTTACTGCACGACTTCTGTTCACGGAATCAATCATACGCATATCAATCTATGTAATGAATCAGTGTAATAAATCAGCTTATCTGCCCAACACTGCCGCCATAAGACCGAATCAGAAGGAAAATGGCAATGCACGGCTGGATTCGAAATCAGTTCATGTACATAACTACCGAAGTATTCTCTTTCGTTTCTGTCTTTCATTTTTTTTCCCCTCTCAGGTACAGTTAGTTAGTAGATATGACTCTTCGTTAGGCCATGGGATATGTCAATATTAACTCAATGAGTAGGCCCCGAGAATTCTCCGAAGTAACTGATATTTCAAAAATAAGGAACGGCTTGGTCACGTACGCTAGGGTGGAGCCGCGTAAAGCGTCGAAAAAGGATACGATGATATTGAGAGGCGGACGCGGGTCTAAACTTTTATGGCCAGCAATTCTCCAGAATCAGATATTTGGAAGATAAAATATATTTTAAAAGTATTTTTATGGTAAGGTGAACAAATTGAAGTGCAAAAGTGAGGTGCTTTATAAATTCACAACCTGTGAGTGTAGTTCCACACGATATTAATTTTCTACATTGCTTGCACTGTTGAGAAAATGTTTCAACAAATCAGTTCGATTCTGGAGTTGAGAGGACCTCACACAATAGTCCGGTGCATCGCCCGCATCCATCAACCATTAAAGAAATTAAGGCAGTCAAAAAGTTTAAACCACAATTGAACGATTTGGTGACTACATCGCCCGTGCATATGAATTCATAACTTAGTCACGATCATAAAAATGATACTAAGAAATATGTATTGCTCATTTGCTTTTTACAGCTAGACATATACCGTTTTGAAGCCTTTATACATGGCGACATATTTTGCTAATTTCATAAGCACTTTTAGTATATCTCATGTTTCCAAATGCGATCCCCGTGAGATGCAATTTGTGTGCTTGATAAATGGGTAGTTTCCCTATGAAGAATCCACGAGACCACTGTCTTATTAACTCCATCAATATACTGCCCTATTTTTTGATAGGCACTTTGTTTGCCCCATTCATCATAATATGACTCGACGAAAACCAGGCTGGATATAAAAGAGCCAACACCGACATGGAAGAGAATATTAGTAAGACATTAACTTTCATGTCATGCATGTTTGATTCATTAGTTTCAGTCTTAACGTCAACACACGTCTTACGATTGATCATTTTGATCAATTGGAAGAGTTAAAAGATACAATATTCGAGGCGTCATTCCATCTTGCAGCTGACTTCGTGAAGAATTGTGGAACAAATTGCAATAAAAGGGTCTGTGCAAGTGGAGCAGTAAATTGGCCCCCTTTGCACAAGGACGCGCAGAGAGTGAAAGTACATTTGCACGACGTGTAGTTTTAGGAGAAGGGTTCATTTAACTTAAAAGGGTAGAATTTGTTAACGCTTATTACTCTTCTTGACTGATACAAAGGGGCCTATATTCTTTACAACGCCTTAAGTCCTTTGTTGAACCTGTACGACCAGCCTATTGTCCTCCTTTTGACTGACGGACTGATTGACTGACTCCCCGATTGACTGACTCCCCGACTGTACTGGCTGACTTATTGACTGACTCCCCGACCGACTGACTGACTGACGAAGTCATAGATGTTCTAGGCTTCGGGGTCCAGCCTAGTCTCCTTTTCAACTTTCATGTACTTTCATTACTTGTTCCGGGGAAAAAAAGAATCGTTATAGGCCTAATCGGTCATGGCAAAGTAGCTCACAAACCCTTAATAAACCTAAATTTGGAGGGAAGACAATGAAACTGTTCAGTTTTAGAGTTGAGAAGAACACCCAAGAGGTATGCTCCGTGGATGGAAAGCCCAACAAGTCTGGTAGGGACTGAAAATCCAATCCAGATATGGACCCGGGCGGGAATATTCGAATCGAACCCGGGTCATAGAGGTGGAAGGTCGAGGATTATGATCACGGCGCCAAACTGACCAATTTTATGTAAAGCACCAGTTCAACCAAGATTTGGCCGGTGTTTAATTTGTCTTGTTCTTTTCACTCCCTTTGTTGCTTGGACGTACCAGCCTACCTGTTGCAGACATTAATCATAGCCTCACTGCTGACACAGTCAGCCATCAGCGTCATCCGTACGGTAGCCATCACCCTACCGGAGGCCCTCAAGAGGCGACTACCGCCGGCCACCACCTGCAAGATCATCGCGTTCGTCTGGATTCAGGCGTCGCTGACACCGATGCTGCCCTTCCTCAGTCACGGTGAGTTTCGTGGCCCGGAATCAAACATTTAGCTTCCTACCAAAGTCGCTTCAGAATTATTACCCCTGTTAATCAAGCCAATTTATGCAGCAGCTCGACTCGGTGCAATCGAGTCGTTATATCACAGACGATCCACGCCTGGGCGGAGAAAGGTAACTTTATTGCCCAAGAACACAAGCTCCATGGCCCCTTCTGGGTTTGAACCCACATCATAACACCATAAGAACATTAATGACAAACTGTAGTATGTTGGATAAAGAGTATCAATAAACCATCAGGACATAAAGAAATTGTAAAAGCATCGATACATTGTGTGCTAATTTGTCTAATAGGAAGTGTATTATATTGGAAATGTATCCTTCTGAATGTTGCCGATTTGTTGAAAATGTAATTTTTTTGCAATCTCATTTTGTAGACCATGTTGTGAATGATCTCTTCACCTACCAACCACGCCTCATGGCCTATGCGATATCAGACGGCCACACCAAAACACCACAAGCACTCTTGTTTTCCGTGATGGGATACCTGCTACCCCTGACCATCATCTGCATCAGCTACGTCACCCTGTACGTCTCGCTCCGGCGTCACCTCAAGAAGAACTTCCTTGTCCAGGACAGAGGCAGCCGCCACATGTACACGGTCCAGATGAGGGTGCAGGTCAAAGTGGGTTGCCTCGTTATCTTTGTGATTTCTAGTACTATTCTCATCTGGATTCCATTTTACATCATGTCGTCTCTCTCCCTCTTCGAAGCGGCCCAGTTCGAGTCGCTGAGCCGAAACGCCTCGGCGGTGTTGATATTCGGTGCTTCATCCGTCAACCCAGTTATGTACGGGTTCATGAACACCTCTCTCCGGCAGGAGTTCAAAGCGTACTTGTCGGCAAAACATCCGAAGATACTCAAGCTGCTTGGTAAAATGAAGTGCTGCCGGTGCTGTTGTAAGAAGAAGGCCAAAGTGGACGCAGTTATCGTCATCCCGAGGGAACAGATCCAGAGGTCTATAGGTAACAATGAATGCGAGCCGGGCAGTATTTCCGGCCAGTTGGTACTGCAGATCAACCACGAGATAAGCTTGAAACAACAGTCCGTATTTTCTATCAAACATCCGCTTGAATTCCCGGAGACCAACGCTGCGCAGCATCAACACACAGACGCACCGACGGGAGGCAGAGGCGCGGTACCGCCGTTGCTCAAGAGATGCTCCTGGTCGCAATCACTGGCTCACAATGCACGCCGGTTCAGCGATAAGGTATCGAGGCGCCGTAGTGGCTCGGATAGCACCACTGACGGTCGGAGGCAGCTGCCCCTGCTGGATTTCAACGCAGTCTCGCAACTCCGGGAAGAGAGTCAGGGACTAGGCACCATGGACTCTAGGCATCTTCCAAGAACACATAGACAATCCAATCCCGAGAGCGTTTTCCAACAGCCGACCGATGACACTAAAACCAAGTACAACAAAACCAGGAATCCATTAACCCCAAACGCAAAAGATCCTTCATCTGGCTACAAAGACGGGTCGGTGGTTGCTGTGTCTCGGTGCTTCAAGAAGCAGCCCGTGTTTGGTGACATCGTGAAGGTCCGGCGGGTCTTCATCGAGGAAGTCACGCTCGTCTCCGGCAACTATGCTGGCTCTGTTGTCGGGGAAACAGACCAAGGAGCCGGGCATCCACGGACTTCACTCTCGTGTCACCGCGAATCGGTGTCTTCTGCAGACTCCCAGCTCGTCACCACTACAACCCTGAAGGCCAGTGAGGATGTCTACGCCACGATGACGGTACAGCTACCTGGATGCATCCAGGCAATACACGAGAAATGAACCTGGTGCACAATAGTGTGCTTCTTAGGGTTCTCGCGTAACATAGAAAGCGCCGACCAAAACTTTGAATAAGGGGACAACATTTCAAGCAGTTAAACAAAAAAACCAAAACAATATAAAAACAGACAAAAAGAACGCATTATATGCATCATTCTCGGAAACAGTTCCTGCAACAAGCTAGAAGATTAAATTCTGATCTTAACTTTGGATATATGATTATTTGGATCACAGAGTTATTTCCTTTTTGAAAGAAAACCCCAAAGTTATCAGTTATTACATGTAATAAGCTTAAGTGGAAAAACGTGCAATCTGGCACAAGAATGTTTAAAAAAAACTCACAAAAATGATGATCTCAGTGTCCTCACGAATTATTCCTTACTGCACTCCCACAAGCTTCACCAATTATTTTCTACTTTGTCACGGCCCTCCTGAAAAATAATCTTTCCCGCGAGATCCAAACATCTCTGGCAGAAACTTAATGAAACAGACAGAAAGAGGGACAGGGAGCGAACCAATATCAGACGTGTTCGAGCATAACGCGACTGAGTTTTACCACGACTGAGGTTTTTAACTGTCAAGAAATGGATGTTAATGGCGCTCCTAAGGCAATCAATGTAAAGTGCGACCGCGGCTTTGTTTGGACTTCGGTGCGTAATCGTCGCGAGGAAAGCAACCAACAGACGTGACTGTTACATGACTACGAACCAGCTCTGAATACAGATATACATGAATTTGTCGGGGAAAAAAGAGTTGATTAAAACCAAGCCTAAAGTCCATCCGACGATTTTGTATCTGAAACCACAGTATTTTGAAAACAGGAATATAGCATGGACTTTGTGTAGGAAGGGGTTATGCAAGCCCCCGTTTAAACTGGCATTCCGTAGTCGCACAGAAACAAAAAGTTTTGTAGACACGACTTTAGTCAACAAGTTTGATGCAAAGTTTAATGTCTTGTTTTGTCCATCAACAATTATAGAGTTGTGCTTACAACCATGAACGGGTGAAGTGTGTGATGTTGAGACGATTTTTTTTAACACAATGCATTTACAATCCTTTTAGACGATGCAGAGTCGTTTCTAACGACTACAACAGTTGATCTGTTGACGTGTTTGCCTGTGGTCACTCGAAACTGTTTCGCACGTCGAACTTACCAATCTTTAGTTCAGTGCGACTCTTGAACGCCAGTCACAACCAGTAGGGCGAACCTACCCGAACAAGGACCGTTGATCGTCACGCGGAGATCAGTGAGTAGGCCTACATAACGACCCTGTATCCTTCAAAAGCAGTGGGGGTATGCATTTTTCCATCCGACAATGTATTTATAGAAACACAAAAACACATCAAATGATTCTTTGGTCTCCGGTATGGGCGTTAAACATGATTTTGTTTTCCCATTGACAGTTTCCTTCTAAAAGTCTCTATTAAAAGAAAGCGTGACACAGAATAGGAGTTTTAGTGTGATAACGCAGAGATTTTGTCAAATTAAGGTTGGCCAACAGCCACCGATGCAAAGTTTAGTGGCGTGGGTGTCTCCTAAATATAAACGCTTGTTATACACGCATAATGCGTTAGGAACGCATAAAGCGTTAGGAACAGCCGTTTACACATGTATTTTCTCAATTCGTTATTACACAATGCATTTTCAACACTTCTAATTTGCCGCTATATACAGGTATACTTTTCAACGCCATGACGACGACGGTGGGTATATCTCTATCACAAGCAAACACCTTGTGTTTAAAGGTGTTCTATTTCATTGAGAGGTGAAATAAAGTTCAACACTTCAAAATGGGGAAGAAATCACAAAGAAGACAGCCAAATTGACAAGGAATCGATCTTTCAACCTCTTACAGGGGCAAACTGGCGTTCCAATTTAATGCAACCGCGACCGAGGAAAGACTAAATCCTTGATTGCTGATTACGTCCACGGCTATTGATGCTTCCTCCTGGATCGCATGAACCAAAGAAAAAGAAAGAACCCCCACACAGATGTAAAGTTAATCATTTGACAGTGTACGTGAGCGCCAATGTTGGCGATGTCAAGTTAATGAGATTGGCCGCATGTACAGGACGTCGGGGTGCTATCTGCAGGCTGGGATCTCCACGCAGTGATGGCGGCGGAGTCTCGTTTGGAGTGGAACACGTGTTGGCTCTTCGGAACACCGGATGCTCTTGTCGCTTTTACTCTCCAGCCAGATTTAAACTGATGGTATCGCACACGGCTAATAAATTGCTCTTTTGGTTGACTTGTTTATTTTATCAGGGAAGCGTTAAGTAAACGCGTCTAGCTTTCAGCAATGTTTTTAAGACAACCTAGGGCCGTGCCCGAAACTTCCAGAGCTACGGCATTGTCTACTGTGATCTTTTTCCCACTAAACGCACTTAATTTTCGAAGACCCAAGCCATTCGATGAAGAAAGAGAAAGAACGGCACTACATGACCCGCATATTATTTATTTATACAAACAAAATAAATACAAAGGTCCAAAACGTTTTCATACAGCCATCCAATCACAGACCATCTTATACTAAAATGCCTTTCAACAATTAGGCTGGGCTTGCCAAGTCGAGATAGAGCGAGAGTCTCAGTTAAAGACATTGTTTACATACACTCGCGATCAGTCACTCTAATCAGAGGACAACAGACTTAACTAGCTAGCCCTTACGGTGCAGACCAGTAAATACATGTCCATATACACAAAAGACAAATCGGGGTAAAAAAATCGGGGAAATACTCCACTGCCCAAGGTTTTCAAGACGTACATCCAATTAAAGCTCGATAACTGTTCAATTTTTGTGGGGTTGATCGATGACTTTGGGGTGATTTTCCCCTCCAAATAATTATGATAATAATAATAATTATGACCACACCTAAAAGTCCATCGCCATTTATAAAATGGTCCATCTACTCCAATGCAAAATGAATAACTTTTTGGTCCAATGTGATCCTCGTTTTCTCTGAAATTTGAAAACAAGTCTTGATTACACATTGGACCCTATACTTGCTACACACCTTCAAATGCAAGCCAGGGGCCACAAAACTCTCTATTCAGAATGAAAATGAGGGCATACAAATGACGATTTGTTCAGCGTACTGAGACAATTTCCGACCTATTTGAAATCCGCAGTGCAACCCACGGCTATGGGGAGGAAATTTGTGGAACAAAGATCAATCCAACACGAAAACACACACCGAAGTGAAATGCAACTGTGACGTAAAGAAAGCAAGACTATCAACTGGAATCATGGCGGACATAGCAACCGATTGAATAGCAAACACGTCTACTTCATGTTGGCAAATATAGCGACAGCGACGTATCGTGCAGAAGTAGTGGGATAATTAATAGCGTAATAATGGACCATTATGCGCGAATGCGTTTGAGGGATCGAAACAGTCAACTTTAAAATATAATTCATTAATTCAAAGTCGGTCTATATTTGACAGGTTTTTATACTTCCTGATCGATTTTTTGAGGTTTTTTTATTATTAATTACGGGAAGCGGGGGAATTCAGAAGTCACTGAATTCTGACAAGTAACTTCAGAAAAAAAATGAGCAAAAAAAAAAACCATTTCAGAAGTTGTTATGGTGTTATTAGTAACGCAGTTAATGATATGCTTTCATTTCATTCACACAAAAACTGTACAATTTCATACAGGCACTGCAATAACAAAAGCCAGATGGCCATTATAAATATATACATGTATTCACAAAAGGTAGTGTGAAAATTCGTAATAAATATTGCTACAAAATACAAAACAGGTGTGAAGAAAAAAGTACAATCAGGGTTGCTTCATATAGTATAGTACTGTCCATGCTTGCATAGATAGGCTGAGACAAGCAACTGTTGTCCTGAATTGTGTTTCTACACAATTGACAACTCAAGTGTTTTTTTGGGACAGGTGATGTTCATTTTTGAACAGGTAGTTTTTTCTTTGGAACAAGCAGTGTTTCGCCATGGACAGGGGCGTAAATCCGGGGGTTGGGGGGGGGGGGGGAAGATGGGGTATATATCACCCCCCATTTTCTTTTGACCAGGGGGGGATGGGCTATTGAATCATCCCCCCACCAGGCGCGGTTTCAGGGAGGCGTGCTGAAATGTAGACCGGTTATGTAGACCGTTCGCATGTACATTCCAATCCTTCTTTTTGCTAATGCAATTTCTTTTTAAGGAATTTATTTTGGGGGGGCTAGACAAAATTTTGGGGGGCTAAAGCCCCCCCTAGCCCCCCCGTAGAACCGCGCCTGCCCCCCCACTTGATGTGATGAGGATTTTGAGGTATTTTCAGAACGTCCCAACAACTCAAATGTATTCAATTGCGCTGAAAAGTGGAGAAACAAAGTACAAAAGCTTTAAAAAGGTAAGGGCGAGTATACATCTTGATATACATCTTTATCCTGAAGAGTGCCCCTAGTGTCATATGGTGTCCAGCCCCCCCCCCCCCCACCTCCCCCTTTTTCGAAGTTACACGGCCGGGCAATTTTAGGATTTTGGTTATCTTCCATCCCCCCACTCGCCAGCACAGATTTGCGCCACTGCCCATGGAACATGCTATATGTTCTGTTTGGAATAGACAGCGTTTTCTTTGGACGAGGCTGTACTGTGTTCCATTCAGAACAGGTGGTAGTGTACGTGAACTATATACACCCCGAGGACAGACAGACAAAGGGAAAACAACAGATTCTTTGTTGTCCTCGAGAGTTCATCTTTTATTGAAAACAGTCCTCGGTCGTGCGTTTGTGTGCTTAGTCTATGGGAGAGTGTTATATTACAGGGACAAAGGAAAAGACAATGCCTTGTCCTCGAGAGAATAGTAAAACACGACTTGTGTTTTACTATACTCTCGAGGACAAGAGTATAGTAAAACATGACTTGTGTGTTCCATTTGGAATAAGCAGTGTTACCCATGGAACTGGCAGCAATCTGTTTGGAACTGGCAGTGTAATTCCATTTGGAACAAGCAGTGTTTCCTTGGAACAGGCAATGTACCCAATGTAAACAGGCTCAGATTGTTTAGGAACAGTGTGTTCCTTGAAGCAGGTTGTGCTTTCATTTGAACAGCCAGGCTTTCCCATGAAAAAGGTGGTGCTCATAACGGTACAGACTGTGGTACATGATCAGTGTCATGTACTGCCACATCTGCACCTCCCATCTGTTCTGGAATGAGACCTCAGTTTTAAAGCAGCCCAAGTGAAGCTGGACTTAGTGTTAAGTCCATATCTTAAAAGCCCTGCATCTTTTAAGTCTGCTCCATAAAACCCTGCTTTCGAATGGACAACCGATCAACTTCCCCACACGATGTCTCTCCCCTTGTTCATTTCTTGTCTAAGATAATCCTCCCTTCCTTGTCTTTGACCCTTATCCTCCCTGTGGAATACCTTGTCTCCTGTCGACCATCTGGAAACACTGTCTTCACTGTCCCATCGGGGTACTCTCTCCTCTAAACAAATTAAAGGGAAAATAAATCAATAAAAAACAAACCTCAATACACACAATGAAGGTATTTTTTTTTATTCAAAGAGACATATTTACACAAGCGTCTCAGTCTTCACAGCAGCACCAGGGACGTATCATAAGTCCTACGTCTCTCATAGGTCCGACGCCTCATAAGTCCAAAATGTAGGACTTATGAGGCGTCGGACTTATGAGGTATAAATTCCGCCTCGTAGGTCCGACGCCTAATAAGTACAACGCCTCATAAGTCCGACAATGGACAAACGCTGATTTGGACTTCTGAGGCATCGGACTTATGAGGTGTCGGGACTTATGAGGCATCGGAGCTATGGGGCGTCGGACTTATAAGCGGACCCTGCAGCACCAGGCTGGCCAAGTGAGGGCCAAAGAAATAATTTGGGGGTTGAGGCAAACATACATATAGAAAAATCACGTAGAAAACTTAAAAACAAAAAATTGATGGGGGGGGGGGGGGGGCAGAGAGCTGGAAACAGTTGACGCTTGGGGAGGAGGGGCTGTTCCAAACCATTCATATTCCTATTTATGTACATAAAGTCATGTTTCAGGGCCATTTTCGAGGGTTTCCAGTCTAACATATAAATTCAATGTGCAGTATAATATAGACTGCAAGTCTCTTCTTTTCCTTCATCTTATTTTTCCTCTCTTTTGTTTGAGCTTCTTGGGGTGGGGAACTGGGCACAAGGACGATACTTGGAGGGGGAGCCTTCTTGTACCTTAATTTTTTTTCTTTCTTTTACTCACTTTCTTTTTTTTTTTTTTTTTGGGGGGGGGGGGTAAACCAGGATACTCCTCTAAAAAGCAGGAAAACAAAGCAAAACTACACAAACACACATAAAGGAATTGTTACTCCCTGAGTCACTTGTATTGAAATGTGACAGAAGAGCTTTCACAAAGTTTAAAGGGAATGTACATCATTGGCTTTTGCTGTAATTTTCAGAAATGGAGTATTTGAGGGGTTAGTATAATATATAAAATATTGTTACACTGACATGTTTGAAGTTTTATGTTCGAAAATGCTGGTAAAACCAAAAAACCAGTAGTCTGGTTCCCTGGCTCCACTAAAGATAAAATGGATCAATTTATAGTTGCCAGAAAATTGTAAGGTAAGGGAACCAGTCTAGCTGGCCTGCACCCGTTCATGAACATGAAACCAATACCAAACAAAATTTGGACTGAAAAAAGGTAAATTTGGAGCAGTAGTTTGAAATATAGTTAGGTTTTTCCAACGGTGGTCGGCCGACCACCGTTGGAAATGTATACAATATACCATTTTCTTGAATATGACTTCACACCAGGTGCCATAATTTTACAGGATGCTTTAGACTGTCATTTACCAACATCCTAGTAAGGTATTTCTTAAAAACTTGGTAGTTTTATATTTCGATGTTTGCAAATGTTGTATATTCCCTTTAAGGGTTAATCCACATTCCTTTATTTTCAAGGGTTTTTTTTCTATTGCCGCCAAAGTTTGATACAGGATATGTACAGAGCTGGGGATGGATAGAAATAACTTTTGGACACGTCGAGAATTTTCAAAAAGTTCAAACCCATAATTTCTCTAACAGCTGGTAACGCTGTCCATCGGAACTTTGTTTCACCGAATATGCGATTATTTGAAACTCTCTGATCAAGTTTTGCACATGTAAGCTACAACTGCGGTCACGCAAAGTGCGCCGGTTAAAATGTGCATGCAGCGATCGATATTATGAACAGCTGGAGTGTTTTACAGGTATTTATTAAGGATGGGAACAACTACCCACTGTCAACCAAAAAGTGGTATCTGCCAATAAAAATGCCGCAATAAAAATAACATCATGTCGTGTGCATATTTTAATTTTTTTTTTCTTCGAATATTCAAACAAGCAAAAAGCTATTCAAATTTTCAGTTGATGATCGAATATTCGAATATTCGGTATACTCGGGACAGCTAACAGCTGGTTTATTGGGTATGATCTCCAGACTCTGATAACAGCTCAATCTATCAACACAAAGTGCGGCAGACTAAAAGCCCTTTCACGCATGGCTTTTAGGCAACAGCAATTTACTGAATCAATCACAGCGGGCCTGCGTTTTATCTTAAGATGAATCGTCTGGAGTGTCTGCAGATATGTAAAAGCTCAAAACACTTGAGATGTTTTGACAGGTCGTTATCAGTCTGCGGAAGTACGTATGACTGATGATAATTTTCCAAATAACATACTCATGCTGTGTACACATCCTTTTGTGATGATGATTGACAGTTGAGATTTTGAGTTCAGATAACCAGCCCCCCCCCCCCAAAAAAACCCCAAAGCTGTGCTCTTTTATTGCTCATGTTGAATAAAATTATGACTTTTTTTATTAAGCCGCCCCGCTGCACCAGGGGCGTAGCACGGTCATTTTTATTGGGGGGGGGGGGGGGGGTACAATGTTGTGGAAACGGCACTTGCACATCCGTTGTGAAATGTAGACAGGTTTTTTTTCTCCGGACACTTGGCCTTCGTAAAATCAAAAAGCAGGGGGGGGGGGGGGCTAGTACCATCTGTCGATGGGGGCGCTGTTCAAAACCGACAATTATGCACACAAAGGGCCAATATATGGTGCTTTTCAGGGCGATACATATGCTAAATTCGGAAAAAGGCACCCAAAACGGAAGATGTAACAAAAAAGGGCACCACTTCTATTTAGATAAGGGCACTTGTTCAGAAAAAAAAGGGCACTTCGTAAAAAAAGGGCTCTCTTTACAAATTATTTGGGGCGTAAGCCCGTTAAAAAAAAAGGGCATTTGAATGGAAAAAGGCAGTCTTTACAAAAAGACTGGGCTGTAAATACATGCGTAATATTAACCCTTCTACTGTCTGAACAGTCAAAGACAATCAATCCTCTTCCCCTGCCATGCCTTTTACACAGGCCAGTCACCAACAGTCAGATCATATTTCAAACAAGCACTGTGACTAGTCAAATTCAGTCAACAGTTAAAAGTAGGCAAGTGGTAGACACAGCTGGCTTTATCAATCACCTAGAGTCAAAACACAGCTGCATCAAGTTACAGAAACAGTCAAAGCCAGTCAGTCCTGCTTTATGTAGGCTGAGTGCTCTTAAAGGGAATATACAACATTTGCAAACATCGAAAAATAAAACTACCAAGTTTTTAGGAAATACCTTACTAGGATGTTGCTAAATGACAGTCTAAAGCATCCTGTAAAATTATGGCACCTGGTGTGAAGTCATTTTCAAGAAAATGGTATTTTTGTATACATTTCCAACGGTGATCGGCTGACCACCGTTTCAACTACTGCTCCAACTTTACAATTTTTTTCAGTCCAAATTTTGTTTGCTATTGGTTACATGTTCATGAACGGGTGCAGGCCAGCTAGACTGGTTCCCTTACCTTACAATTTTCCGGCATGTATAAATTGATCCATTTTATCTTTAGTGGAGTCAAGGAACCAGACTACTTGAACATTTTTGTTTTTCTTGGTTTTTCCAGCATTTTCGAACACAAAACTTCAAACATGTCAGTGTAACCATATTTGATCTATTATACTAACCCCTCAAATAGTTCATTTCTGAAAATTACAGCAAAAGCCAATGATGTACATTCCCTTTAACTGTTAAAACACAGTCACTTGATTGATTTTGACTGAAAGGACAACTTTGATAAGAATATATGTTTGCATACGAGGGTTTACATATTGCCTTTCAATATCGCAATATTGCCCTGACCTTGTACTGGGTAGTATGGACCTCCCTCTGGCCATTAGGGAACTCCATGGTTCTGTTGCCATTCTTCTCAGCTCGGAGCACCGTTCCGTCAGGGAAGATACTTTCTTCGTTACCGTTGGGAAACAGGTATTTGATGGTCTGGTCAGGGAACGTGATCTCCTTGGTGCCATTAGGATAGTGTTTCTCAGTTTGATTGCTAGACAGGATAACCAAAAACCAAAGGATATGTCACTATACTAAAGTGATTCCATCAATATTGAAACTGGTGGGTTAAGACACAGTTAAGGCAAGCGAAACTTTTCTATGAAGGTGGGGATGATGTGCAAATGACAGGCATGCAACTGAGAATTTGGGAAACACGACTATTTTGAGGTTTGTTGCGCCATTTATACCCCTAGTCCATGGTGGGGTCAGTGCAATAATGGGTATGTCTTCATATATAGTTTGAAGTCTATACACAAATCTGCGGTGGCACCACAGGCTCGTACGAGTCGTACACGGGGAGTACGCACGCACTCCGGGCTAATTCGACTCAATAGGAATTGTATCTGGAATACCAAAATGCACGTGCGCCTCGTTGTTAAGAACGCAGGCAACATGCACGTGAGCATGACACCACCGCAATAACGGCTTTAAATTCTTTAGGGTTGGAATTCGGGTGGTGCTCAATTTGCAAAGTGACTCAGGCAAATGTATTAATTTCAAAATCTCCACTATGTGCTAAACGAGTTAGATTGTACAACGTTTCTACGCATGTGGATTGTTTCACCTAAACGTAATGCATCACTACTAAAACTGATTTTATTTTGTTTAACAATTCTTGTTTGAAAAACTATTTTCTTGTTCACTCCCTAGAAAAAGTTCTAGGGAGTGACACAAGAATAGTTTTCCGGAATTAACATTTCTGTCTAATTTCAAGAACAGCATTTTGAGCAGAGTGCCTTTCAAAACCGAAAGGCAAAACAGCTACCCCAAAAGATGTTGATCATATTATCTTCCCATAATGCACAAGGTTAGCATCAAAACGTTAAAGTTTGCTGAAAGTATGAGATGGTCTGTATGCAGCATATGCACATGCTGGGCAGTGACTCGCGTTAAGTTACGTAACCCTTAAAGGAGCTGGGTTATTTGGGCCATGCCGCCCCCTCAACTCTCGGCTGTGGAACGATGACAAATTATGAAATTTGGCACATACATAGATCAACTCAATCAATATAAATATACCCATAAAATTTTATTACTAAATATCAAAGGGTTATTGCCTAATTAGTTACACCACATGCACCCATGATAATCCTGCTTTACAATGTATGTATGGGGAAATTCTATTTTTGCCATGCGCAAGACTTTAGGCTATAAAATCATGACAGCTTGGGGCGTGAACAAAGTTTCGCCAATAATATCACAACAAAAGTGCAGGGGTGGATCCCCCCCCCCCCTATTAGGGTTAAGTCCCAGCACCATGGAAGAGTGATGTGCGACAACATACTTGCTGAATTGTATGATTTCTAGACCATCAGGGTAGGTTGTGTGTGTCGTCTGTGTCTCTGCATAGTAGTACATCTAACAAGTAGAAACCACAAAATATTGGTCACAGATGGATGCCACCAAAGCGACTGAATCAGCGAGTTAAAAAAAAAAAGGTAGAATAGTTCACGATCATTGATTGATGCAAGTTTTTTTTACATTGATCTCGGCATGGCAGTGTATTAAAATAATCAATCACAATTAATTGCATTTGGATGACTCGATAAAAAGAAGCCCATCACTGAATAATATACAAATTAATCTTCTCAAGATGTGATTAAAGGTAATATTCAACATTTGCAAACATCAAAAAACAAAAATACCAAATTATGAAATACCTTACTTGATGGAAAGTGAATAATAGTCGCAAACATCCCGTGAAATCATGGCACCTGCTTTTTTCTCTCAAATACTGCCCCCAATTTACCAAGTTGATTTAGTTCACATTTGTTTGCAATTGGGTACAACTCCATGAATGGATACAAGCCAGCCAGTCTGGTTTGTGACCGGACAATTCCCCAACATCTATAAATTGCTCTGTTTCATCTGAAGTAGGGTAAGGGAACCAGACTACTCTTTCCTTGATTTTCCAGCATCTATATGAAAGCAAACTTTAACAGGACAGTGTAACAATATTTGCTTTAAAATACTAACACACACACCCAACCATTTCTGAACATTACAACAAAAGCAAATGTTGTATATTACCTTTAAGAAATATTTAGAGTACATGTACTTCTTATGCTTTATGGATTCAATACAGTGTTGTACTAGCACTCGGTACTCGTACTCGAGCACTACTCGAGTACTTTTTTTTAGTAATTGTACTCGTACTCGAATGTCAAAGTACTCGTACTCGAAATGACGGTACTCGTTCTCGAGCAGCAAAGTACTCGTACTCGACATGTCGAAATTGTACTCGATCATCAAAGTACTCGTACTCGAATAGCAGTACTCGAAAAAACAAATGGTATAGCTTGATTTACCACGGCCTTATTTTATTATCAATACTTTCAGTTGGAAATGGTTGATTGGCTTGCAGGGAAATCAAAGTTCCCTGATTTTTCTCTGTGCCCGTCCAGACAAACACATTTTAACAGCTAGCCGTGAGTGGGTCTGTATATCGGTCTGACTGGGCCTGGGCCAATTACGCACAATGAACCATTTGTGGTATGGCCGTATTCGGAAATACAAGTACTCGTACTCGTACCCGGAATACAAGTTCTCGTACTCATACTTGTACTCGGAAGTAAACGTACTCGTACTCGGGGACCTGAACTTGTACTCAGAAGTACAAGTACTCGTACTCGTTAATCTAAGTACTCTGCAGTACTTGGTACTTGGAAAAAAGTACTCGACTACAACACTGATTCAATAGGATTACAGGAATCCTTGATTTGTTGTAAAATAAACTGGAAGGAAGATCATGTCAATACTAAGTCCAATATTGAAAATTTTTGCTCCATTTAATCATTTGGGAAAATTTTCAAACGCATTTTGATTTTATTTCATTTAAAACGTATAAATGTCACATCCTTACCACTCTTTGGTCCGGCATAATCTGTTTGATGTCGCCGTTGAAGAACGTGACAATGACTGACTGGCCGTCAGCACTGATCTCCTTACGGGTTTGGTTGTTGTAAGTGATCACCCGGCTGCCATCAGCTCGAATTTCTTCAAGCTGTCAACAAGATCGGGTAAAAAAAAGAGGAATCTCAGCTAATGAAAAATATGTTCGGTAATTTTGATATACAGGGTGAGCCCAAAAAATGCAACCCTTACGTTTTAAAGAGAAAGGGATCGGTGGATTTTTATGTTTTGGGTATCAGATTAAAGCTGAGAGCTTTTTCTTTCAAATACTGAACAAATCATGGAAATAGCACTTTGGGGTTGCTGAGAAAATGTCAATTATGTCAAAGTAGTTATTTTTCATCCTGTACACAAGTACTACAAACAGTGAAACATATTACTGTAAGCCTGCTGTGCAATTAATTTCATTTGTGCAATTTCTTTAGTACTTTGAAATATTTTATCATGCTGAAAGGGTTTAAAATAGGACTAAAAAGGATGGGATACCTGTTCAGGTGGCAAATAAAAGGGATTTCCTTCAAATTCATTTGTACTCTTGTCATATTATGCGCCGTGTTGTTTGTAGGGATTAGGACATGCACAATTAGGTACAAAGAAAATCCCTTGCTGTGGTAATGTTGTGTGTACAGGATGAAAATTGACTACTTTTATAGAATTGGCATTTTCTCAGCAACCCAAAGTGCATGATTTTTTCAGTATTTGAAAGAAAAAGCTCTCAGCTTTAATCTGATACCAAAAACAAAAAATCCATCGATCCCTTTTATTTTAAAAGGCAAATGTTTTAGGGTTGCATTTTTTGGGGGTCACCCTAGATAGGAAGCATCTCAAAACTGGAAAGAAATGTCTATTTAAAAAGCCTTGGAACAGTGGCCATACTTTATGAATGCTTAATTATATGAAAAAAACCTACTCCATTTGAATACACCGGAAAATGTGTTTGTCCTCACAGAGCATGTGTTTCGAATCCAATGGAGTGTGGTCCCAATGGGTACAATGTAAATATTGTGTTTTGAAAAGTGTCCTTCCATTTGCCTTTAATCAATGTACCTAGTACAATCACCATTTGTTCATAGGCAACCCAGCTGTTGCAGGAAGTAGAAACTCAATAGCACCAATTCCTCAATTACCACAAGTGTCCAAGATGGTTACAACATTCTCCTTCACTGGCTTTTTCTTGTTTAGTTGACAGAAACAATCTAACGTTTGTATTTCATTCAACTGTTATATTAAGCAACATAGCTGGACCCAGTTTTATGGCTCCGAATAATAGAGCAAGAATCAAGGCTAATTAGCAGAAAGAGTCTCTGCCAACACTTCATACAATTCACAGGTTAGCAAGCAATTGTACTGTACATTTCAATATGACTGAGCACATCAAAATTAAAGATTCTGTGCTGATGTGGTTGGCGGAGATTTTGCAATGCAAGCACAGAATAGTGATAGGACAAAGGAACCCATGGTCAGCAATGCCATGACAATTTAAGTGATTCACAATGTAGTGCACCACCAAGAGTCTGCCATGAAGAGTCAATTTTTCAAGTTTACGGTCGACAAAACACGGCTCGTTTGAATGAGTGCCAGTAAACAACTCGAGCTAATTTGTCATAGATTGGGGCATAGCGTTTTGCCTCCATCTCCCACAATGCACCAGGCAATGAACTCTCCAGGGCAAACTCTTGGTGGCGCACTGCATTTTGAATCACCCGAATTGGGCTCATGTGCAGCAACTAACCTTTCCATCTGGGTGATGTATCTCCTCCTCATTATCATCATTGTTATTATTCATGGACCTGTTCTGTTCTCTGATCTCCCTCCCTCCGGAGCCCAGAGTCCCGTCCTTGGGTGATGCATATTCATAGCCGCCTTCCTCCCTACTTGGGCTGAAGAGATCCAACGATTCATCTGCTGCTGTTGTTATTGCTGTTGCTGCTGCCGCTGCTGCCGCTGCTGCTGCTGTGCTAGGGTGCTTTCGAGGGCTGCTGTCGACGTCAAACCTGACGGAGCGTTTTTTCTGGGATGGTTTACGAGGCTGTGAAATAAGTGGCGTGTCGTCCTCACTGCTGGTCATAAATTTAAGAATGTCTCACATTAAAGTTGGCTACACTGACCATGACATACATGATTGCCTGGTACGGTAACCTAAGAGCCATGGACAGACACAGACTGGAACGTATCACCAATTGGCCTCCAAAACAATTGGCCTGGACGTTAGGGATTTACATTGTATGTTTGAATCTGCAATTATCTCTAAGCTACATGACATAATGCAAGATCCTTCCCATCCGCTCCATTCTTCGGTGGTTGTCAACAAATCAGGAAGAATTCGCCCTCCACGAGCCCGCACTAAGCACTTCAGAATGTCATTCTTGCCTAATGCATGCCATCTATTCAACACTCAATTCAAAAGATAATCCCCTGTTTTTTGTCTTGTCCTTTTTTCCTGGTATGCTGGCATCCACTCACGTGTTTTTATTGTAAAGAGCTCTTTTTAATTGTGTCTCTTACTAGGTTCCTTGTTATAACAATCTGGTGTTTTTATTTGTTGGATGACAACCTTGTAATTTTTGATAGTCTGTAAATATAGTCTCTGTCATTGTGTTAATATCTTATAGTACCTTTTGTTTTTACATCAAATTTTATTTATTTTGCATTCGTATATATCTGTGGTCTTATTGTACATGTATAATGCACACTGGAAATCAATTTTCATGTTTTGTACGTGACGAGTATAATAAATTGAATTGAAATTGAATTGAATTGAATTGACCAATTAACCTATCGCGGTAGAATTACGTCAACACAGCTTGTGAAATATTGTCCAATTACATGATATACAAATGGAAGCAGAATGCACAAAATCTGAGACAAACAAAACGTAACATACAAAATGTCATAGTGTTGTCTATGAAAGGGACGTGGCTAACTGGCAAACGGCGATAGGTCAATTGTTCATTGAACACACTTGTATATAATAAAGTGACAAATTAAACCTTGAATACAAATAAAAGATGCATTGTTTTTTTAAAGTACTTGTTTGCTAAACCTAGCTGCAAAACATACACATGAAAAACATGCAAAACAATGTGGGATACATGTAGGTCTTGCTAATGTTCAAAGAAATGCACAAAATATGTATTTATTCAGGAAAAAAAAAGGCACTCCAATAGTTTGGAGATACAAATATTTCAGTACAGAGCAACGTTTTTCTCCCAAAAATGTACCTGGATTCCAAAGTTCTTGATTCAACAGCAGCATTTTCAGGTTTGGAGTTAGAAATCTGTGGGCGTGTCGTCGCTGGTATAATCTTAGGCTTTTCTCGGACGACATCCCTCTTTTCATCCGTGGTGTGTTTGGGGTTTGGCTGTGGCTCCTGGTCCGTGATGAGAGACAGGGGAGGGAGTTTTTGCTTATTGATGATGGGAACTTGCTGCTTGGGTTTGGGAAGATTTGATTTCGCCTAGGAATTCAAGATGAAAGAAAACAGACTTACCACTTCACTGTTAATACAATATCAGAAATCTAACAACAAGGTGAAGAAATTTTACAACTTCAATTACACACTGCTAATAAATTCAATGGGTTTCCATTTCATCTTTTACTTTTTTCTTTTTTTTGCAACCAGTTTCTGCTTAATGATAATGGGGACTTGCTGCTTGGGTTTGGGAAGGCTTGATTTCACCTAGGATTTCAAGATGAAAGAATACAGACTTACCACTTCACAGTGAAGACATATTAAAACCTCTATTACATACTGCAAATAAATTCAATGGGTTTCCATTTCATCTTTTACTTTTTTTTATATTTTGTAAACAGGGAATGCAACTTGGAAGAAACAAAAAACGAGGAAACTCCAATCTTTACAAGACTTTATACAGTGTTTTTTCAATTTTCAATGGCAGAAGTGTGAAGTGAAAAACGAGGAAATCAGCTGATCCGAGGAAAAGTTGCATGTCTGTGTAAACAGTTTCACCGTAGAATTTCAAGTAGAGTATAAAATGTAGACAAGTATCCTAAACGCTAAAAGAGAGATTGTATGTCAGGCACATGAACAGATTTGTGCTCATTGTGATGAAAGCACATCTTTTGATGAGTTTTTTTAACTATTGCTTTTCCCTGGGCAGCCCCTGCTAATGAGATATTTTCAACTTCTTTGTTGTCCAAAGATTTAAAATAAAAAAATTAAAAAAATAAAGTTGTGCCTCCTATTCAGGGGTGTGAGTGGAGTCCCAAAAAAATAGCTGAAAATAGCTGAACCTGTAAAAAGCCGAACCTGCGAGCGCGAAGCGCGAAGCCCTTACGGTGTGGGGTCCGGGGCCCGCCCAAGGGCCCCGGAAAAATTTTGAAATATAGATGCTCTGTGGTGCATTTTAAAGCCTCCTGGCATGCCTGGGCCAACTATTGGTCGAAAATGTTTTGCAATTTATGCATGTTTTTAAGTTAACTTTTCCTTCATATTGGCTTGAAACTGCCTAAATGGCCAACTTGTGTATGAAAACTGGGAAATTCGACCACGTTTTCCATATTTTAACTCCTTACTGCAGATGATTGATACACATCGTCATCGCGTGTCCCGGCTTCTGATCGAGTCGCCTAATTTCTGCCCATTAACCATGTGTTCCATCCAAATCCATTTCCACGGATTCGTAACCTGAGGATCGGTCTTGTCATTGTCCATATCAAACTCCGAACCTCTTTGGATAATAACACACTTGTGTTGCACTGACATCTTGCGGAATTAATAATGTCAAAATACGTTCGAAACATTTGAAACGACACACTAACGTACGTATCACCGGTGCAGGCCTGGATGCGTGCATGCAATGAAATGCACACATGAACTTTGCCCCGCATGATGCCCTCTACCGGCGCGGCACGGCACGGCGACAATTTACTAGTCTTATTTCAAGGCTTTATATTTGCAACTAGACGATGTTTACAGCGAGTTATTGTGGAGATCATCGCGTGTCACTACATGCATAGACACAGGAACGGCCGCAAAGAGTCCCAACGCGCTTCATGGCGCAGGTGTGAATATTCATATTTATCTGCAGCCAATCACAGCGCAATGACTGTTGGTTCCCCGGATGCCGTTTACACACACGCGGCTTCGAGCTGAAAAATGCATGCACATGGCATCGTATAGTACACACGTACGTGCATGTATGTACAATGTACATGTACATGTACATGTACATGTACATGTACATTGAATACTCGCTTGCGATTGCACGCACCTCAGAGCTACGTGTACATGTATGTTGTAGAGAGCGGATCGCGTGCGTTCGGCGGTGGCGGAAAATAAAATAAACGGAAATAAAATCAAAGCTTACGCGCGGGGGGAAAAGCGGGGGGAAATCTGGACCATCGGAAGAAAAAAAGCGGAAAACAAAATGTGGCACGTTGAACAAAAAAGCGGAAATCCGCTAAATAGCAGAGATTTCACACCCCTGCCTATTAGTCCCTGTTTTGCCACTGCCACAACATGAAACCAATTCAAAGTATGAAAACTCGACAAAGAATGATCAGGATTTTTTTTAAAGGCCCTAATTTCTCGAAGAATGTAAACTTGTACAGTACATACTAAAGCAAAATGTCAAAATGCTTGAACATTGAACAAATATAAGTACATAATTTACGAAAACAAAATCAGAAAGGACACAAAACAGTCATAACCACAAGTCCCTGACTGAATACAGGCACTGGTAAAGAACTTTACTCAAAAATTAATAACAAAGACCCAAGTCTTTAATGTTGTCACCTTTTCTTCCTCCCTCTTCCAGGCCTGTAGACGCTGCTGTTCCAACAGCCTGACCTCTTCCCTCAGCTCTGCATTCTCCTGCTCCAGAACGTCAGTACGATCTCTCAGGCGCGTGGAGGCTGCCGTCCATCGTGTCTCCCGGCGACTCATCTCCTCCTGCAGGTCTGACAACTGTGCAAATTGCAGAAGGGAAAATGGGAACACCAAATCTTCAGTTTTAACCCTGCGAGGAGCTGGACAATACAAATTCTATGGGAGTTGGCTTGGGTCTGATCTTTGCCTCAGAAATTCTGGGTCAAAAGTTCAATTTGGGGTTAAAGGGTCACTCATGATGCTTCTTAGCTATGTCTCAATAGGGAACTGCTGGCGTATGGCCTCTTTTTTTGACCAAAAAATTACAGTAATTAAAATTGTTTAAAAATGTACTGACAATATCAGAAGTTTCGCAAACCATGGAGTTACATATTAGTAAAAACTTTACACCTTCTTTTATAAATACACCTTCTTTTAGCAGCAGACAAAACCTATAATAGTTTGATTCATGCAATATTCACAAGAGAAGAACATTTAATCTCAAAATAACATTAAGATTTAGCCAGATTTTATAGAGCAAATCTTACCAAATAAACCCCTATAATGTACGGTGACCAGAAACATTCGCTAAAATTAGTGTGCAGAGAGCTGCTATTGAAATGCTGTCAATTATGCATTTTTTCCTAAGACAATTACTTCAGAGAGTTGAGGGAGAAATCCATGAATGGAATTAATGTACCAGTGACCAGGAGCAAGCTACTTTACATGTACATGTACACAAAACATCTTATTATTTATCTCTGGCCACGGTTGCTTTGTTACTCTTCCATGACTGAAATTTACATAACATGTTCTTTGAAAAAGAAATCCAGGCTTACTTTGTCTTACATTACCGGGTATTTTACAAAATCAAAAGCACTTCCCCAACCTGTTTCCTCAGAAGCTCAATTTCGTCCCTGTCTTTCTTGTCCGGCATTGCCCTCGTCGCTTTCTGGTACTTCTCAAAGGTCCGTTTCTCTTTCCTACCACAGCACATTAGAAAATTATGAGAAACATGTGGATAAACCAAAACCTCAATGACAACAGTCACACTTGTTTGGAAAAGTGTGGAGCCTGATGCCATGGCACTTTTTCATTATTGAAATTAAATCTGCAATTGTTTTTGTGTGGGGATAAACTTGTATTGCTGGTCTCTTAGTAAACAAAATGGTGCACACTTTCTCCGCTTAATATGTGAAACTTGCTTTCACCATGACATGAAATATCAATTAAAAGAAGCATTTATTAAACTCTCATAATGATACATACTTTTCTATGACTTTGCCGACATTAACCCTTCTACTGCCTGAACAGTCACAGACAATCATGCCTTCTACACAGGCTAGTCATCAACAGTCAGATCATATTTCAAGCAAGCACTTTGACTAATCAAATTCAGTCAACAGAAGCAAAAAAAACCCCAGGCAACTAGCAACTAGGCACAGCTGTCTTCTCAATCACTTATAGTCAAACATAGCTGTATCAAGATACATAAACAGTTACAGCCAGTCAATCCTGCTTTATGTCTGTATTTAGGCAAGGAGCACTTAATCGTTAAGAAGTCACTTTACTGATTTTGATTGAAAGGACAACTTCGCACAGAGTGAATGTTTGCACTGAAGGTTAACCTGAAATTATTGGGAATAACACTGAGACGAGCCTCACGTAAAGAAAATAATGAACATCAGTCATATGCACAACAGGTGACAGGAGACGAAACTAAGATATACGTTTACACTGTAAATCATCCAAGATACCACAGTCTCTATTAATATCCCATTTAAATTCTGTGATGCATGCACACCACACAGAAATACCCAAGATACCAACATGCAAATGGAAATGATGCAAAACGACAGGAGAAAACTTCCCAATAAACTGTCAGTCTTACCTTGCTGCATTGAAAAGTTCAAATTTTTTTTGCAAATTAAAGGTCAGGAAAAAAGAGATGATAACATTGATTCTTTTCTTTATTATTCGACTTGATAATAGTAAGTAGTTTATGCATATTCAGTTATTTCCAAACAAGTTTGTCATCTGTTTGTGTTATTTTTTTACAACAATGCAAATACATTTAACTACATTGTAACAAATGATGTGCTGTCTGGACACTACGACTTCTTTAAACCCTCTTAAGGAATAAGTAACATACCTTGCATCCGTGCATGAATCAACAATTTGCACACAACACTCAATGGGAAATTGATAACAGTGTAGCCAACCAGAACATATCAACTGCCATGAGAGCATTCTGGTTGGAATGATCCATAAGGTAACATCAGTGTATTCAAATCGGGTTAAATTCTTCAAAAGCTCTTATCAACTAACGTATAATGCAATCTTCTTCTTTCTTTTTTTAACTTTCACAAGACTTTTGATTTTGTTTTGAATGATTTTAATTGGTTTTTTTTCAGAGTAATTTCAATTGTGGTTTCAATAGATTATCTAAAATCAAATGATTCAAATCAAACAACCCTTAAAATGCACCAGGTGTTTTGGAGGCAAACTTCATTTTTTTTTTTCAATTTTAGAATGCGGTTTTATGCCAATTCAAAATGTTATAAGATGGAATTTTGCGTCGGGGTGATATAAATCAAATTAGGTTTTGCCCTTCACCAAACGTCGGTGAAGGGCAAAACCTAATTTGATTTATATCACCCCGACGCAAAATTCCATCTTATAATAGTTTATGCGGTACCCGCTGCTATGTACATCAGATTCGAACCAGCCAACCGATCCCGTTAGCTCGGTGGTCGAGTGGTAAGACATCTGCACTAGAAAGCAGGAGGTCGTGGATTCGAGTCCCACCCGAGTGATTTTTTCTTACTTTCACTCGGGAGGTAACACACCGAGTATACAGTGTTTAAAAAACGTCGGTGAAGGGCAATACCTAATTTGATTTAATTCAAAATATATTACCCATAATTCGCCAATGTGTTCCTTAGGGTGGATAGGGAGCTTAAAGAAATGGGTTTAAGGAAGCAAAAAAAATGAATGCATGTGGCATACCTGAGCTTTTTCATTTCTTCTTCCTTGTAATCTTGTAGACTTTTCAGTTCCTCTGCTTTCAACTTTTGAAAATCAACCACTTCTTTATCCAAAGCTGCAAGCCCCTAATAAAATAAGACCAAACACTTCCTTAAAGGTAATATACAATATTTGCTTTTGAACTAATTTTCAGAAATGGATGAATTTAGGGGCTAGTAATTGACAGCAAACACTGACCTGTGCAAAGTTTTGTGTTCATAGATGCTGAAAAAACTGGGTTTCTTTTGTAGGACTACTAGATCCCTGAACCTACTTCAGACGAAACAGAGCAATTTATAGACGTCAGGGAATTGCCAGTTCAGGGAACCAGACTAAACTGGCTTGCACCCGTTCACAGATTTGTAACCAATTGCAAACAAAATGTGGACTAACTAAATTTGGTAAATTGGGGGGCAGTATTTGAGAAAAGTCAGGGTTTTTTTTGTGGCACACTAGGTGCCACGATTTCACAGGATGCTTGAGACTATGATTCACTAACATTCAAGTAAGGTATCTCATAATAATTTAGTAGTCATTTTTTTTATGTTTGCAAATATCTCTTTTGCTGTATAATGTACATGAAACACCTAACGATAAGGATTTTATGCCTCTTCATGAATTAAAACTCTCTGACACCATGGCTTTGACTTCAGGAACTAGCTTACTAGATTATCACAATGACTTTAGGACTTTCAATTTTGTATCTCGTATTCACATCTTTGTACCTTTTCTCTTTCCTCCCTGAGCTTGGCCAAGGCAGCGTTCTCGCGTCGGAACTTTGAGATTTCAGCCTCCAACTCCACAAGTTTCTCTTTGAGAAGTTTGGACTGAAGCCCCTCGGCCGTTGTAGTTTCAGGAGCTTTGGCAGGCAGCTGAGTTGCTTTCACCTTTTAATTAGGGCAAAACAGTAATTTCCAGATAAGTTTATTAAACCCTAACACAATTTCTTTTTGCATCCTGATTAATGTAATAGAATCCTATGGCCTGATGAATTAAACAATTTTACAACGGCTAGAACAATACATTTTTGTTCATTTGGTCAACAAAGGTCAACAGAAATTGGCCCGTTTGATATTGATTCCGTTTTACAGGGTTAGAGTGAAAACAAAATTATAAGCTTGATTATTATACAAATACTGTTGTTAACGAGTGCAATGGAAGAAATATTTTCATGAGGTGAAAGATTGACTGTTCCATTAACTGAGGCATACATTGATTAACAACATTAATTACTTGTTTTAATAACACCCACATAGATCCTTGTCATTTGATATATTATTTATATGTAGTTAGGCTTACCTTCAATTTTACTTCACTTCCATGGCCATCCACAACATACTATAAATCCAACAGGTACTAAAAGTTCCAATCCAAACAGTCGTAACTTCACAACAAGTTAAGTTCAAAGTCCAAAATTGTTCAAAAACAGTTTATAACTGGTCAAACTGTGACAGTGTCAGTACTGTTGGTCATGTGCGGTCGGTTAGGTGCGGTCAACACGTAACGCTGCAATCTCATAGCATGCAGCAATAGCAAAGTTCACGCTCCGCGATCAATATCGAGCAATGGAGCGAAACGAATGTATCCAAAATGCACGGTAAATGGAACCAAATTGTACGATGTTATGACGTAAATCATAGAATGGAATATTTGTTAATGAAATTGGGCAAGTGATTCATATCATGTGACTAAATTCCACTAATCAAATGACAAGGATCTAGTTAGGAACTATATAAACCGGTTTATTGTTAGTAACCAATGGTAAACTGAGTTTAAAGAGGTTGTGGAATGCTCGAAGACATTTCCGTCATTTTTTGGGTATATGTAGCCTAAGGTGTGATGAAATAAAAACGACTATTGTTTCTGTCATGAAATGAGTACAAAGGGTACTTTTAAGAGCTATTTTTCAGGTCCTGTTTCGACCCGAACGTGCATTTTGTGTAAAAGTCGTCGTTGCGGGCAGCAAACAAAACACAGTAAATCGTGACGAAATAAACAGGACTCGTTTATGCTACTCTGCATCGGGAGTCCTGTTTATTACGTCACGATTTACTGTTTTTGTTTGCTGCCCGCAACGACGACTTTTACACAAATTGCATGTTCGGGTTGAAATAGGCATAACAGGACTTGAAAACAGCTCTCAAAAGTACCTTTTGTACTCATTTTATGACAGAAACAATAGTCGTTTTTATTTCATCACACCTTAGGCTACATGTACATATACCTGAAAAATGACGGAAATGTCTTCGAGCATTCCACAAACTCTTTAACTAATAATGCGCAATATACAAGTTAATTGGACAACTATGAACTGAAATTGAGACAAACAAGAATTAACATGAACTTGGCCATACCTTCTCTTGGCTGGGCTGGCTGGTTTTCTGAGTGGGCTTAAGCTTTGGGAAGAGTTTGGACACCAGTGACGATGTTGGAGGAGAGGCCGTTGCATCCGGTTGGTTTATTTCTCTTGTTTCTTTTCTTCGGTCAAGAACAGACTTGTGGCCTGAGCAACAAAAAGACAAACTTGTGTATTTCTGGAATTCTAATGAAAAGGCAATGTAGTTTAAGCTCGACAACTTCCTTCATTAAAATTAAAGATTTAGGATTTTTTTTTTTAGAAATCTGTCGTCAACAAACAATGTTAGAAATCTCACAATCTGCTGTTACATTAACCCTAACCCTAACCCTCCAGGGGTTTTTGGCTAGAAACCCTGCCAAACACAGCAACATGCCACACTTGCCCAGTGCCCAGTGCAGCAAGATCCATCAGGCCAAAAGTCTCAAGGCCAAACTGCCTCAGAGTCTGTGGTCCCCGAACGCACCAGGATACAACTGAGGCATTGTTCTATGGGACTAGCTCTCATTGTCTTTGAACATATTGAAGTGGCTGTTATGCACTGGTGTTGGCAGCTGAATGCATCAAAGTGCACCAGACTTTTCCACCTGATGCACTGTGTTGCGTCTGGCAAGGTTAGGGTTAAGGAATATGAAAGATGTGTACCCTGACTAAATTACTGAATTTAAATAATAACACAATGTTTCTTTGTTATTTTGTTTTGTCATTATTGTGATTTTTTTACCTTTCTTGAATGGCGGAGGGGTTGATGTTGCAGAAGGCGCTCCCGCTAGGATGACACTTTCATCATCACCCTCCACCTCCTCTTCCTCATCTTCATTATCGTCAAAACTCTCCGACTCTGCATCTCCAAAATCACCCCAGCTCTCATCATCGTCAAAGTCCACGTCCACTGCGTGAGAGGAGGTTGCAGCTTTCCTCTTCATGGCTCGGCTCGGCTTCTCCACATCTTCTTCCGAAACAACTCCTATCTCCTCCTCATCCTCAGCAGTCTTGTTTTCAGAATCTCTCATTTGATCATCCTCATATTCTTCAGAGTTTCTCCTGTTGATTCTGGCATTAGGAGGGTTAGGTATCTTCTCTCTGATGGGGTATCCCTCCTCCGTTTTCAGAGTAGAGTCTTTAAGAGGTTTCCTTCCGTGATCTAAGAGGGCTTCTCTTCTTTGAGATGCTAGTGAGACATCATTTTCCTGGGATGCCTCATCAGAGTCTTCCTCCGTTGGGCTCCCAGCCTCCTGCCGGTTTACTCCTCGCTCTCTCGAGCCTCCCCGAAAACTGGACTCTGGGCTTGAAATATTTTCATTGTCTCCAGTCAATGTTTGATCCCCAACAAAACTTTCATCTTCACTGCCATCACTCTGATGTCCACTGTGTGCTGGATCAGGTGATTGATCCTGTGTCTGAGGATGCAATGACCCTGTTCTGACTGCACTTTTGGATTTCTGTTGTCCATGTTTTTGAATTAGTGCATATTTTGACGGCACTTGTAAGGTGTTTGTGGATAATCCATCAGTTCTCTAAAAAAGGAAAAAGGGTATCTAAAATCAAAACAGAAGAATAATGGAAGATTTATGGAAGAAGCCTTGTAGCCGAGCGGTTAGAGCATGGAGCTACGGAGTGGAAGGTTGGCGGTTCACATCCCATTTGGACCAACAACTGGAAAACTCTGACGACCTAACAGTAAAATGGGTACCTGATTTGTTCAGGGAAGGTAAGACGGTGAGAGGAGAGAAGATGAGCACTACCACTCATATGCCGCATCCATTGAAACAGTGGACCTCTAACATCCCACTGCCCCTACAGCCAGTAATGTCTATGGGATACCCTTACCTTTACCTTTTACACTGCCAAAAATGACTTTCATTTTTTTTAAGACAAAAAACCCCCTAAAACAAGGTTTTTTTCCAGGGTGTGACACAAAAAAACTTTTCTAGTCACTGTTTCTTGGTTCAAGAAACTTAAATCAAAGGTTTTTCTAGATTTCCTTAATTAAATAATTTCTATTTTCTCATCTGGAGAAAACATAAGAATTTGTTTCTGCTGTTAATTTACAAAATTTCTCTTCGTAGATTTTATTTTTTATATGATTTCTTTTTATATCAACGAACAACATTGGCAAGAATAATTTTCTTGAAGTGTTAAAGATTATAAATATGTAAAGAAAAATATTTCTGGCCCGAACCAGATTTTCTTGATTAGTTTCTTAACCCTTTAGTCACTGAATTACTTGGCTACAGCTGACAGTAACACACACATTTTTGGGACGTAGCTTCAGCTTGTTCTGCACGTGAAATTTGTGCACGCTGTAATTCCAACTAATTCTTACTGTGTGTATATAATTATCTTAAAGACTTTTGTATGCAGCTTAACTAGGCAGGGCCGGTCTTGTTTAAAATCTTCTTGCTAACTAGGCCTCTTTACTTACCTGATTACGTTCGTTAGCCCGCTGCATCATGTTGACCACTACGGAGGCATCGCTGGCGAAGGATGCATTGTCATCAGCTGCCTCCTCAAGGATTTCAAACTCATCCAACTCCTCCTGCTCAACCTGAGATAAATGGAAATATTGATCTGTTGTCCGCACTTGCTTCATGTGCTTAATTTCTATCAGTACTGTATATTCAGAGCCGAGGAAAATTCTAGTCCTGGGCAAGTAGTTGATTTTTCAACTCGAGCACTCGAAGAGAAATTACTCCAGAGTAGTCAAGTAATCATGAGTTAAATCAAATTCTAGGTTTTGCCCTTCACCGACGTTTAAAAACTGTATACTCAGTGTGTTACCTCTTGAGTGAAAGTTGGAAAAAATCACTCGGGTGGGACTCCAACCCACGACCTCCTGCTTTCTAGTGCAGATGTCTTACCACTCGACCACCAAGCTAACGGGATCGGTTGGCTGGTTCGAATCTGATGTACATAGCAGCGGGTACTGCATAAACTATTATAAGATGGAATTTTGTGTCGGGGTGATATAAATCAAATTATCGATCCGTTAGCTCGGTGTTCGAGTGGTAAAGACATCTGCTCTAGAAAGCAGCAGGTCGTGGGTTGGAGTCCCACCCGAGTGTTTTTTTCCAACTTTCACTCGGGAGGTAACACACTGAGTATACAGTGTTTAAACGTCGGTGAAGGGCAAAACCTATAATTTGATTTATATCACCCCGACGCAAAATTCCATCTTATAATAATCGTGAGTTATTAACTGCATCCCAACAAGAGCAGAAAATGACATTTGCACGTTATTATGCTGTGACTTCTCCTAAAGTAACAACAAGCAAATTGCATGAAGTCACAGCACATTCTGCACCCAGTCATTTCTTGTTTACTCTTAAAGTCAATAATTCTCGAAAGAACTACTCTCAAGTATCTGCTTCTGCTCAAGCCATGACGAGTACTCGATTAGATGAAAAATCACGAATAGAACAAGTAGCATAAACTACTCCCAAGTACTTGGGTACTCGCTCAGCAGTAAAACAAATGCACAAGTTTGCTTTTGTTGGATTCGAACCCACAACCTTCTGCTTATAATAGTGAAGATGTACGAATCGCAACCAAAGTTGCTGCTTTGGTTGGCCGGTGGAAATTTAACTAAAATTAACATCACCCAATGGTAAAATTCCTTCCAACATATTTGAACTAGTTACTAAACTTTGTGGTAAAAACAAAAGCAATTTTCGATTGAACTAAAAAATGACCTTTCAACACACTATCAACCTGTTTAGCACTTAAGCAAGAATCACATGTAGTCCCATAATTCACTTGAAATTGTCATGTTATAAAGAAGTGGATGATGTACGTCGGATCTCTCCACAGAAAATTAACAAAATTCAAATTCAAATGGTGTAAAACTTATTATGGGGAAGCAATTTATTAAAATTTACAATCTGTATATAAAGCACATAATTTGACATTTGAAATCTTTGGATACTATACATTTAATGAGGCAAAGGAAGAAACTTCTTAAAGGGTAGGCTACCTTCTCGTTCATTTGGGGAGTGTGTGGCCCAGTGGTTAGGGTTCGTGACTCATGATCAGAGGGTCTGGGGTTCAAATCCAGCCGCTGGTCATATATTGTGTCCTTGGGCAAGGCACTTCACCCCCACTTGCCCCTCTCCACCCAGGAGTATAAATGGGTACCGGCATTAGCTGGGGAGTAACCTGCGATGGACTAGCATCCCATCCAGGGGGAGTAGAAATATTCTCAGTTGTTTCATGCTACTGAAACCGGAGATAAACGCCGGCCTGATGAGCCACATTGGCTCGGGACAGACTTTACTTACTTACCTTCTCGTTCATTTCCCACTCCTTCATCCGCATCTGAAAGGACATCTCAATGGTGTCGTCTGGAAGGGCGCCCTCTGTAGTTGACTGTTGGCCACGAGACTCGTCATCATGAGACATGACCACTGGGTCTACTACTACTATTGGGGCCATGGCCGCTGTCACTTTCTGTGGGACAGGGAGGCCCAGGCTGGGTACCGACTGCTGTGGCTGGCTGATGGGAAGAATTTGCTTTGAAAGGGGTTCTTGGCTGAGTTTGGTGGCTGCTGGTGGTTTGGACGCCACCTTACGGGACATCTGTTGAGGTGAGATGGAGACATACAAAAGATTCCTTAAATTACCTTATACGCTCTTCAATTTGTTACCAAACTCCTTACTCAGTTTTGAAATATGCTACAATCCAGTGGCGCACCCAAGGGGGGGGGGGGCTTGAGCCCCCCCCCCCCCAAGAGGTTGTTGATTTTTATTTTAGTCCCACAATTTGACCTTGGTGATATGTATGTGGCCTATATTCGAGTAGTATAATAGGGGTGTAAGTGGCGCAACCAACGTCAAAATAGTCCGCCCCCCCCCCCAAAAAAAAGTCCCCAATTTTTTTCTGCGGGCCAAAAATTGTAAGCAAGATTTTTAAAAAAATTTTAACTTCTAAAAAATTTGAACAAAAAATTTGTGAGGCCCCCCCCCTCTCAAAGCCAAATCCTTGGTGCGCCACTGCCACAATCTTCCATCAAACAAGAGGTTGGTCACAAACAACAAAAGGGGAAAATTAACGGCTACGGATCTAATGTTTTCCAGTAATTTACTAAATTTGTTAAAAATGAGATATATTCAGTAAAATTGGGTACTCAATTGCATTTTAGGTTACAGAAAACGTACATCACTCTGCACATGGCAGCTCTAAATAGATCATGTTAATTTTTTTGTCCAAGCACTTCTTGCATCTAATTTCACTAAACATCATGAAGACAAAATAATTCATTTTGACGATTTGCATAAATCAAATTTGAAAATTACGATGACGTCATCACATGACGTGTGACGTTATATTAAAAGTGCATATTTTGAAGGCCTATATCAGTTATCTACAGAACTACAGGTCTGATTGGGTTGAAAGTTGGTGTGAACCTAGACCGGGATGTGTTATAGATGAAAGTTCCAGTGATGTCATGATGACCTCATCATATGACATAGGACGTCATATTTAAGGTTCATTTTTCTATGGCCTATATCAACAGAACTATAGGTCTGATGTTGTTGTAACTTGGATTTTAGGTTACAGAAAACATATATCACTCTGCATGTGATGGCTCTAATTTGATCATGTTCATTCTTTTGTCCAAGTACTTCTTGCATCAGATTTCACAAAACATCATGAAGAAAAAGTAATTAATTTTGACGATTTGCATTACCCTGAACATAAAAAATGTTAATTCACTGATGTTCGAACTGCAAGATAATGCTGTCATAATGCTCTCAATTAGTAAAAAGACATGACAAATATGCAACGGCCAATGTCACTAACCTGTGGAACTTCCTCTTTCTTCCCTCTATGTCCCTTCTCAGGTTTCCTTCTGTCATCCTCCTTTTTCGTGTTTTTATTCTCTGTTTTGACTAATGACAGCTTGTTCATGGCAGCGGGGCTGGGCTTGTGACCTGCCCCCGCAATGCTGTTTTTCTTCATACCATCAGTGGACATTACCGGGGGCATTTTGCCTGGTTTGGGCCTGTGTTCCCCACCAGCGGGGGGCTTCTGGGTGATTCTTGGGGAAAGAGGCTTTGGAGGTTTCTTGGAGATGACACCGAAGCGGGCCGTGCCAGTCCCTTTGCGGAGGAACGAGCGTCTGGGGCTGTCCTTTGAAGTATTCTGTGGGGGATTCTCAGCTGATTGGTACTATCAAAAGAAATATGTTGTTTTAATAGACTGGTTTCTGCGAAGTGAATATGTTCTAGGTACATATTTTGTGCAATTTTCTACTCCTCTTAAATGTATGAAAATATTTTGGCAGCCCTTTTTGGTTAATTCTATTGAAGGAGCAATTCCTTAAACATTTAAACTTGTCCATGCTTTTCCGGACAAATGAGGGTGCCGTTGCTGTGATGTCATTTCAGGAAGACTCTGTTCAGGTTAGGGGTTTTCTGATCAAGTTGTGAACCCAAAATTTGCTCATTAAAAACATCTGTGAGAAAAGTTTGCTCATTGGTTTACTGTCATGTACTGAGTCACAACGACGAATCACCAAAGAAAATTAATTTTACGACAGCAAAATATCCAAAATACTGGCATTTTTTTTGTGCAGAAATAACTGTAAAAAAAAACATTGCAGTTTCTGCCTGAAATGACATCACGCTTTTGATAATGTATATGGCAATTTGCGTAACCCAAAAGGACCCAAAATACCCTTGCAAACGGCAAAACGAAAATTGAAAATAAGGTTAAATGGGACACAAAGGTGCATTTTAAATACAAGGATTGCATTAAAAATATTACATGAAGTGGGCCCTTTAATGTATAGTTTTACAGGCAATGGTGACAATATAGTGAATTCATGTCACTTGAACAGTCAAACTTGCTGTGCTCTTTTTCCTTCAAACCCAATAAATCTTCCCAAAAACAAGGTGGAGGTTGAAAGATCTGAAAGGGTTAGTGGAAAACCAAGCTAGTAGGACACCTTTTCTGCATCGTTTTTCAGCTGTAGTTCTAGGAGTTCCTCAAACGTCTTGGCCTTGGAGCCCAGAGCTGACTCTATCGGCCTGTCATCTCCTGATAGCTGGGCAGTGTGCGGAAGGATAGATCCATTCATCTGAATTGCAACAATGGAAAATAGGCTTCACTGAAGAGGTTCCCACTACAAAAAAACTGTTTTGTTTGTATTTCTACATGATGGTCATGTTGTCATTATGTTCACACAATTTATGATGAATCTGATGTTAAAATGTTAAGAAATTCTTGGTTGTCAGGCTAATGCTATTGTTATTTTTATGTACAGCGAGCAAATTTACATGAAGCGTCTGAAACCTCAGCCGACTTGGGGCGGTGCTACGCTTTTGTCTGGGCAGACGCCCCTGCCAGCAGACTGGAAAACCCATTAGCAGAAGACATCTTGTTTGTCTAGAAGCATCGGTGGTTTTTCACGTGTTTTTGAAGTAAGAAGAAGTGTTCTGTGAGAGTAGAGTTCATCAATATACGAAGTGCTCAAAGCAGATTACCAGGCCTGTGTTATTTTGATTGTGTTCTGAATCCCCTCCCCCTAATCAACATGTTATACAGTACATGTATATATCTCCTGCAGCCGATTTCACGAAACTTTACGCAATGGCGCAACTCCGCTTGCGCCACAACTTATTGCGTAAGTTGTGCAACATTTCACGCTGAGCAACATTTCACTTATGACACATTTCACAAAAGTCTGATCAAGAGCAAGTCTGCAACTTACACAATACATTATGGCGTAACTTAAGCAATCATTTTAGGTGGCGTAAGTTGTGGCGTAGCAACCGCAAATTACCTATTTTACCAGCAAATCATGATTGTCGTGAAGCCTGTTGTTGCACAACTAATCAAGGTTGATACAAGACACTCACAGCTGCTTGTTTGAAGTAAATGAATCCCAACGGTATTTTACTTGTGACAGAATATTTAGACCTTTTTAAGAAGTTGATATTACTAATCAACATTACCTTCTGATTGAGAACAGCAGCATCTTGCAAGCTCTCATCCAGGGAGTTGTCCGTCCCTACCCCATCTTCCTCCTCCCGTCTCTCCATCTCATCTTGACCGTCGCCAGGCGTGGCTTCCTCATCCTCCTCAATCACACCGTAGCTCATCTCTGATGCCGTCTCCGGCAGTGGGTACACCCCTTCCTCAGCAACGGAGCTGGCAGAGTCACTAGCCAAATCCATGTCTTTCCTCTGCCAGATGACAAAATTATAAAACAGATGACAATACCAAATATGAAATTTTCAAAACTTGTTATGGCAAAATACTTATGAAGAACCACTAACAGCAAAGGTTGCCATTGGTTTTGTGAGAATTTTTCTTTTCATGATTGGGAAAATGCCTAAATGCAAGCTCTACTCAATGCTAAAGTGAAATCTTGATGGTACTGAATGTTGCAACACTTCAAATTCGCAAAAGTTGAACACAATTCAACTCAAGTGAATTTCCCAGTGAACTTTCAATACCACTGCTTTTACATTAACAAAATGGAACCAAACCTTAATCACTATTCTTAAATACCTAAAATAGTTTACCCATTCCTATTGGTCGAGAGCCCGTCACGTGGCCAGTCTTAAACGGTTGATAAAGACTGGCTAGCTGGTCTTAAACACTTCTAGTGTCACATAAATTTGGACTCCTTTGAAATCCGGTGCTCTTTAGTTACCGTTATGTTAATTAAACGTTCACAATGCTCACGTAGGCATGCTCAATACTACCAGTGAGTCAGTACTTCATAGTCCTAAATTCACACTACACTGGTACAGCTGCGTTCTGTGCCACATCGCGCAGTACGCACGATGTGCATGCCAATCTCCATAAAAGGAGTTATTTACGACATGGACATACCATAATATAGCAAGAGGGGTGTTTCGAAAAACAATAAGTAACATTGTTGAAAAAAAATCATTAAAAATCATAATATTTGCATAGTTTTTACTTTTGGACTGAAAAGTTTTGATTTTTTGAACAAAAAGGAATAAACTTGTGCTTGGCTGGTACTAAACACTATGTTTAAGACATGTTGGAGTCTGGATGCTGATAATTACCCTCACCTTCGGCTCGGGTAATTATCAGCATCGAGACTCCATTCGATCTTTAACATAGTATTACAACCGGCCAAGCACACATATATTCCCTTATTAATCGCACAAGAAATGAAAAATAACACACTTTGCTCAATGTATAGTGATGAGTAATTAACGACTTTGGAAATTGTGGTGTGTGGAAAAAAAAATGACAGGCACATAAAACAAATCATGTCATTATGTTTTAAGGCCACTGGAAAATTATATTGGAATATCATCTTCATTGTTATCTTTGTTTGTCATTTTGTTCATCTTGGTTTACGTTGCAACTTTTCTACAATGGATTTGTTTGTCATTGATTTGTCTGTCGGGCTGGTTTTGTTTTGTTGTGTTTATTCTGTTTTGTCCAGGCTTTTCCACTTAGAAGCCTTGGCTATATTACTCTTTCTTTTTTTTTCTTTTTTTATAAATCAACCTTAACTTAATAAATTTGCTTTAAAGTATTTGTGTTAATTACCTACAGTTTTTCCTATTATTTTATAACTGTATTGTACTTTATATTATCCCACTTTGTATTGATTTATTGGAAAGTGCAAAATAAAAGTTTGTTGAATTGAACGTTCTCTGCTGTTTTCATATTTTAAACCTCTTTTTTATTACACATCATTTGGTAATATTATTTCTTATTATGCCAGGAGCACACTCTGCATCAAAGAGTCTCCTATGTGTGTGTCTGCAGTAAAACAACTTTATCACCAATGGTTCACAGGACTTTGAACAAATTATTTCACTACAGGATCAAAACACTGTTTGCATAGCTGTAGACAAGCAAATAATTACACTTTAGTAGGGTTGAAAACTTAAGAAATAGCCCCACGGAGGTTTCTACCCAGCAATGATTGAGCATGGCCTTGCATTAAATTTGAGCTAAAGGTTACTGAAATCGTGATCGATAAGCTTTCATGTAGACTTGATAAAGCCATAAGATTGATACAAAATAACGAACCTGTCTCAATTGAGCAGTTAAGGTTTCTTAGGGCTGAAAAAAATGTATGTGGTTAATAACCTGACCAACCTGGACTTCGTGCGGCTAAAGGTGCAGTTTGGCCAAACAGTCAAAACAAAGTAAAGTGGAACGCTGCTAAAACAAACAACGCGGGATCCAAAGAAAATGTTTGTAATAGTGATCGTTCAGTATTGCGATTTTGAGCCGCTGGAGATTAAAATGGAGTCTGCCGGTTTAATTAGCGCTCTCTTGTGCTCTACTTTAAGTGCGCCCTCTTTTGACTGGATTTGTGTGAAATGTTTATACATTTCCCCTTTTTGCCATTTCGATGTACAAAACTGTTTCTGAAACTGTCCTTTTACATTTTATTTGAAGTAATATTTTAATAAGAAACTACTATAAAGTTTATATAAAAATTTGTTTAGTATTTATAAGGTTTCATTTTGAAGACTGTGATTGTAAAGTTGCGATAAGTAAAATTATGAATCGAGAACTTACTAAAATCGACACAATAAAATAAAACAAACGGAGAAGAGAGGAATTGGGAAAAGGGAGAGGAATGGCTGGGATATTAAGGTATGTTTTCTAATTGTTTTTCTTCTTTTCTCCACTTTCAAACTTTAGTTTTCAATATCTAAAATGGTCCAACAATGCTTGTACCCGGTAGGTTTTTTGGTAAATCTGTTGATTTTTTTAACAACAATGTTCGGTACGTTTTGTACACAAATACTGGGAGCGAAGGATGATGTTCAGTGTAGCCGAATGTTCGGTATAGCGGTGTTCGGTATAGCGGCGTTCCACTGTACATTTTGTAAATTATAAAGATCTTCCCTATGGGCAATTCCATGCGAATGTGTGAACAAGGCTGAAAAGTGGAAACCTTATGAAATCTTCAAAATATGAGTACAACCTCAAATGTGGTATCAAATTAAAAAGGGACTCGTAACAAGACCAATTAGTTGAGTGGTGTGCCAGTGAGATGGAATGTGGTAAACTGCAATTTTGTTTTTTTATCAAAGCTAGTTTTGGGGCTAAAATGACAGATTTTAGGAAGTCATTCTGGCATCATGTTTTCACACGTAAACTGTTAAGGCAGAGAGAAAAGTTCGTGTTATAAAAATAACAAACGGAACTTAGAATACCATGATTCAGTAAGCTTTTATCACGTGTGAAGTTGATTTCAGACACGTAATGTACATAACATATGTAACGTTATAATGTTATAAATAAAATTCATAAAATCAAAGTAACTTTTTGGAAAGTTTCATTGGTATTTGTATAGCGTGAAGCTTTATCTATCATAACATAGTTAAATTTCATAAAATTCTTGTAGTACACTTCACAGACTCTTTATCGATGCGTAAGTCCTGAAAGTCAAAAGCTACCGTATGTACGAGCGTGTAACGTCTGTAAAAGTCATTTTGCTACATGTAATATCTAATTAACTCAGCTCACACTACACTAACCATGACACGTTGGACATGAAGTTTCCTTTCACTGCAAGTATGTTATTTGGTTGTTTCAAACTGGTCAGTACTGAGTAGGCTCTGAATGCAACGTCCGTGATGATGGAATTGCCCATTTGCAACTTGTGTTGGCATTATTAAGGGAATAAATGTGTGCTTGGCCGGTTTTAAACACTCTGTTTTAGACCAGTTGGGGTCTGGATGCTGATAATTCTCAGCATCCAGACTCCAATCAGTCTTAAACAAGGTGTTTAATACCTGCCAAGTACATATTTATTCCCATTCACAAATACCAAATATACATTCAGCACTTTTTGGTCTAAAAGTCAAAACAAATCACACATTATAAATTCCCAACGATTTTGCTCAACAACTTTACCTAATGTTTTTCGGGACACCCCTCCAGCTATATTATGGTATGTCTAGTCTGGCAAGTGTCACAAAGAACTCATGTGGAGTTGGCGTGCGCGTCGTGCATACTGCGCAATGTGGCGCACAACACAGCTGTGCTGATGTATTGTGAATTTAGGACAATGAAATTCTGACTCACTGGTAGTATTGCGCATGCCTACGTGAGGATTGTGAACGTTCAACCAATAAAACGGTAAAAAGCACCGGATTTCATAGGATTCCAAATGTCATGTGACACTGGAAAAGTGTTTAAGACCAGCCAGGCATGTCTTTATCATCCGTTTAAGACCGGCCACGTGATGGGTTTTCGACCAATAGGAATGGGTACACTGGAATTTATGAATGGTAATTTAACAAAATACCGTAAAAGTAAACAAAGTATATATCTATAGACGAGAAACATTTAAAAAGTTACAAAATTAACTTACCGTATTTCCCTACTTACATCATGTACATATGTATGTGCCTAACTGGATAATTTTTAGGTTGCTACCGTAAACACACAATTTTATCTTTTTGGCCTTAATCTTCCCCCCAGTCACGGAGAAATGTAGGCCTAACTCATTACTAAACAGTTGTAACGAAAAAGTAGACCTATGCCCCAGTCTTTTTCTTTAATTTTTTTTTTTTTTAATCCCAGGAAGCATAATTAGATTATTTGGATTGCTTCGGACAAACAGCCTCCATTTTCAATCAGTTTTGAAGCATAATCATCCATGGAGACAGACTTTAATCAAATGTTGGAGCCTTGAATTCAGATTAATCTGCTTAGACGATGACACTGTTCAAATGGCAGACAACTTGATTTAAATGTCATCCTAATTTAATTTCTATTCCTTTTATTTATATAACTTGTTTGATTGTAAAGCACCAGAAAGGATTTTTTAAATGGATTATTATTAATGGGACTTCAGTTTCCCTACGTGGTTTATCTGATGATGAATGACGTCCGTGTTTAGAGAACTAGGGAATAAACTGTTCTGGACCAATCTGCAATTATTTAAATCAAATAAAACAAGCTCCATCGGAAATATCTCGGAAGCTGGGGGCCAACAAATTCGTGTTCATGCATAAGTCAGGTGATTGTGCCATGTAATTTCTGGAAGGCGTAGTGTTTTGAGTAAAAAAAGAGAAATCAGGTTTTTGACCCCAGTGACCCCATGATGACCTTTGACCCCAGTTTGGTCATGTGACATGTTGGGGCTGGGCTACTGATACTTTTTACAAAGTTTGGTTTAAAAATCGGTCAAAATATAAAGGCGCAATAGAAAAAGTCAACGTTTGTTACTAACTATTTAAATGGGGACATGATTTGTCGAGCTGCTATTCCGCAGCTAAATATTACAATTACATTTTAAAATACTAATACATGTGTGCATAGTGATAAAAGACTTGCAAATAAATGGACATGTAAATTTGTCTTGCAAAAAAAGTGTTGCTAATTTTGACATTGAGAAATCATAATTATGTGAATTCATATACTGTGCATGTATGTTTCTATAAATACTCTTTTTCGAGTGAGCTGACTTGCTGATATTTGAGACATCAAAGATGCTAATAGAGCCTGAAAGTACGCCGTTTTGTCTGCGAGCTTCCAGACCCCTCCACGACCCTTCTACGGGCCTTTTTCACGAGGTTGCCCTTTCTCTTGCTATAATATTTGACAGAAGGATTTCTTACCTTAGTCACCCCAAGAAATATTCATGTTCAAATTTTATCTTGGCATTCCACAAGAAAAAATGATGAGAATTCAGCTCGAGATGGGTGAAAACAAATTTGACTTACATTTCACATCCAGATTTCCATACCTAGGTCTCCTTGTTTGATCACCTTTTTTTTCCTTCAAATTGTGTACCTAAGGCCAAAAAAAACAAAGTCTCCGGTTTCTGGTATGCGCGCGCGTCGCCGTAGCCATGCGCGTCGGCAAAATGAAGTTTTTTTTCAATGAAAGATGATGTCTCAAAACCGCCAAACTCACTGGTTTGACTGGAATCCTGCTGCTGCACAATTTAACGTGTTTTTGGATGGGGTTATGATCGAGAATAAGCTTTATGTGGCCTCTCTGGACTCCCACATATTTGCACTAAGTTTAGTCGGGCACCATTTGCAGTCATCAGCCGACATTTGAGGCAAAAAAAATCAGGTTAAAAAAAAAAAAACGCGTCACCGCACCACTTTTTGGGCAAGCTCCATACCAGAAACCGGAGACTTTTTTTTTGTGGCCTAACTACATCCAATTATTTTAGATTTAGTCGGGTTTGATTGAATACAGTTCATATCAACGGTTGTTTTAGAGAATTAGTCCTTCAAGTTTAAAAAAAAATGGTGTGTCCCAACAGACATTTTAGTCTCTTATTTAAGTTTCACTTTTTTTAATACCCAATGACCGCCACAATATTATTTGACAATTTGAGAAGGGATTATGTTCACCAATATGCCAATTAAAGCAATTGTGAAAGACCGTATTAAACACCAATGCACTTTCATACTGAAATTACAACTAAAATATAAGAATGGGTTAACTACTCACCAGTACTCGACTACTCGTGAGGAATTTTTTTTTCTCGAGTACTCGACTTGAAAAATCAACTTCTCTCACCTACTAACCCTATTTTTGAATGCATGCAGTCGGAATAAAAATGTTGGGGCCTCAGTCTGATCAGTAACTAGATGAGTGAATTAGTAATTTGGCTACCTACCAAAAATGCCTGGTCCTGGGCCTCTTTCTCAACATTCCTCAGAAGCGGATTCAGGGCCAGCGGGCCAGCACTCTGGCTCAGTGACACGGAGGCTTGAGCTAAGGCATTGGGGAGGGTCGATCCGAGTCTGCTAGCAGCAGGGCTCCGCTGCTGATGGGGACCGGTGCGGTTCCTAGGTGGTGACTGCTGGATTTGTTGAATACCTAGCAGTTGAAACAGAAAATAATTGACGAGAGTATTGTTGAAAAACTTACTTAGTTTAAAGATGCGGATTGTAATCAACTCCCTGTGAAATTGTTCTTTCTGGCATGCTGTCATTTTGAAGAAATCAATAAAAGAAGGCTATTTCCAAAGATGTGTCAAGTGACACATTTTTGGGAAATTTCCGTTAGTAATAATTAACAAGAGTATTGTTGAAAAACTTTCTTAGTTTAAAGATGCGGATTGTAATCAACTCCCTGTGAAATTGTTCTTTCTGGCATGCTGTCATTTTGAAGAAATCAATAAAAGAAGGCTATTTCCAAAGATGTGTCAAGTGACGCATTTTTGGGAAATTTCTGCTAGTAGGCGGTTTGCATTTCAGAGAATCTGTGAATGGTGTGTGCAAGCATTGACATAACGCATGCAGCAGTTGCTATTATTCGTCTGTTCAGTGCGTGACATCGCATAGCTGCAATCGGCTGAATGAGAATGTGTTCTAGATGCTGATTTCGGACGCTATTCAAACATGACGCAGCAACTTTTGAATTGAAATGAAGATCCTAGAATATTGTTTTCTCGGAATACACATTTACAGCATTCACAGAGCTAGAAGTTCATCAGGTGTATAGTTAAGCACCGTTTATAGATTTGGAGCACTTTTGTTGCTTCAAATGACAAAAATGCACAAAATGACAACCGTATCCAGCACACGAAAAAGGTAGCATACTTTGTATAATCCTATGAAAGGTTGAAGGTTTTCTGTAAAAAAAAAATTTCAACTCAAACCCTCACAAAAAGAACAGTCACTATTTGTTCCAAATTATGGTACAAATGAGATAAATCTAAATTAAATTTAAGCCTTTCATAACTGACAACATATTCTGTCTTTTTTTTTTCAAGCTTAGGGTGGATTTCTTCTGGCTCAATTCTCTAAAACATGTACTACAACAGAGGGGTAGTCTCCAGTTCAAATAAGGTCTACCATACTGCATAATTAGCATACCTCCCCACTGCTTTTGCCGCTGTGCCACCAGCGTCTGCTCCACCCTCTGCTGTTCCAGCCGCAGCATCTGCAGTTGTTCCTGCTGCTGGCGCATCAGCCGTTCCTGCTGCTGGTGTTGCCATTGCTTGAGTTGATGGAACCGCTGCACCAGGCGAGCCTGTTCTTTTGCCTGCTGGTGCTCGGCTTGATCCGCACCGGCATCTGCAGGAAATGTGCAGAATACATGTACGAGTAAGTGTAAACGTTGCCAAGCAATAGACTATAAACAAATTAAAGGTAAGGCCGAAAAAAAATTACTCGGTCTCTGGTCAGCGCGCGTCGCTTTTAATCATGCGTGTCAACCTTTTTTTCCCTTCAAATTACCACGGAAGCTACAAAAGCTATTGCTGCGCCTCCTCAAATTTGTGTACCAAGGAGCACCAAGGAATGGGGAAATTGCACCAAGGCAAATGATAAAGGGCGCCAAGGCAAATTATGGAGGACACCAATGTATAATGAGGGCACAAAAAAGCAAAAAAGCACCCACCTTGTCTGTACAATACAAGCTTGAAAAAAAAAAAAGCCAACCAAAAAAAAAAAAAACCGCGTCGCCGCATCAGTTCCGGAACTTCGGTCTGACCAGAACCAGAGACCGACCATTTTTTTTGGGCCTAATATACAACATTTGCTTTTGCTGTATTTTCAAGAATGCATAGATTTGAGGGTTAGTATGTCACAGCAAATATTGTTACACTGACCTGTTTAAAGTTTTGTGTTCATCAATGCTGGAAAAACCAAGAAAAAAAAATGTTGTTCCTGTAGTCGGGTTCCCAACCCTACTTCAGACGAAACGGAGCAATTTATAGACGTCGGCATTGTCAGGTCAGGGAACCAGACTAGCTGGCTTACACCCATTCATTGATGTGTAACCAGGCATGCAACTTGGAAGAAACCAAAAAACGAGGAAACTCCAATCTTTACGAGACTTTGTACAGTGTTTTTCAATTTGTAATGGCATAAGTGTGAAGTGAAAAACGAGGAAATCAGCTGATCCGAGGAAAAGTTGCATGCCTGGTAACCTATAGCTCAATATCTTTCTCATGACATACTCTGACTGTGTGCCAAATGCCATGCTTGTATCAAAAGTACAATCTGTCATCACCTACTTGCCGTACTGATGGAAAAATGAGAAACTGAAAGAATTCAATGTTAATCAAAAGAATTAAGAATCAATCAGGTAATCATCTGAAATCCATACCTATTTGCATAATTGCCGTGGCAAGCTCTGAGGAGATGGCAAACTCCCTTCCATCCGCTCTGCCTGCGTGGTCTTCTTGTAAGGACGACCCTGGCTGTGCTTGACCGCCAAACGAGGGGGAAGGGTCCAAGACCACACCTGCCCGGTTGACCCAGGCGTTTGTCCGCGACAGGGCATCGTTCATTGTGGCATCTGCTTGACAGGGTTCACTGATATACAATGAGAGAAATCAGGAGGGGAAATCCACCGAAATCAAAAAAATACGCACACAATTAAACATCTAATTTTCATAAATTTTCACATCAGCTGAAACATAAAATCAATGTTATAATAAATAACTTATCTCAATTTTTAGAACAGATAGGCATAGGACCTACATGTACAGGTACTTTTTTCAAACAATCGAAAGGAATCCAACAATGAACTGAAGTTTATCACAGGTCGCATGGACTCCTACATCCACTTCTATAAAACAGTGAACTAGACGAAGTTCGAATTCTGAGAAATACAGTTCCACTCCTCCAATTTACTATTCTTAGATTATAATAGCAGTGGAAACTGACTTTGGACAGCCACAAGAGTAGAGAGCAGGATTCTTAAAGTTAACAAAATGGACTTTATTGCATTTTTGAATTAACCTTTCGTTTCATTTGAACTGGACTATCATTCATGGAAAAAATGTTGCAACCTGACGCCACTTTTTTTCTTTCTATATTATCTCAATGAAGGTCAGTCATTGCAAAAAGTATCATAAGACAGGAATCTCTGACTGATGTGATAAATATTTCCAATTTTGTTTGGAGATACTTTAAAAGAAATTTTCACTCTCCATAAACTTTGTATACAACCGCTAAAGTGGCGTCAGGTTGCAACATTGTCATGAATGTTTCCAAGGATTGGAGTAATAAAGTAGTATTTTTTAGTAGGGCCTATTAGTATTAGTAGAGCAAGGTCAGGAAAAAATGGAAGGAAAGAATGTCGAGTCCATGATGCCACTCTTTTCATCATATATTATCTCAATGAAGGTTAGTCATTGCAAAAAAGGTTGAAAAAAAACATGATGAATCTAGGTCTAGCAAGTAGCATATGTCTAGGACTGAGTAACATTTCCAATTTTGTTAGGAAATACTTAGCCCGACTGCGTCTGGCCGTACAGTACTATCGCAAGCTCTGTAGTACGGCCAGACGCTGAATGCTTCCCAAAAGACTGAATTTTTTTGGCCGCTGATGTAGCGATTTTGCTACATCTTTTGATCGAGATTATCTTTTCATCCAGGACAAAAATTTCCACAGTTAAGGTTCTTTGTCGTAGAGCAACTCGTACCTTTTCGAAAAAACGTTCTTTGGTCTCAATATTTTCATCCATCTGGCCAAATAACGACTTTCAGTGATCATCTTCCACAAATATCGTCCCGAAAATGCTCCCCCATGCGATTTCAAAATGGCGGCCGCGCTGTAACTCATGAATATGCATGAAAAGTCTGTGACGTATGAATTCGTGTTTTTGGACGTGCGTGCGGCGGCGCCGTACGTACATATGTACATGTACATTACTTGTAGACAACAGCCCAGTACGTGCATGCACACTTACGTCCGCGCGGCGGGGAGCATTTTCGGGACGATATTTGTGGAAGATGATCACTGAAAGTCGTCTTTTGGCCAGATGGATGAAAATATTGAGACCAAAGAACGTTTTTTCGGAAAGGTACGAGTTGCTCTACGACTGAGAACCTTAAATGTGGAAATTTTTGTCCTGGATGAAAAGATAATTTCGATCAAAAGATGTAGCAAAATCGCTACATCAGCGGCCAAAAAAATTCAGTCTTTTGGGAAGCATTCAGCGTCTGGCCGTACTACAGAGCTTGCGATAGTACTGTACGGCCAGACGCAGTCGGGCTAGGAAATACTTAGATCATTTTCTTGACTCTCTGTAGACTATGTACACGACCGCTGATAAAGTGGCGTCTGGATACATTCTTTCCAAACGGAATTATCTTTAGTCATGTCAGTGTTGTGGTTGTTGTCATCAATGACGGGGTGCACCGTAAAGTTGTAGCGTACGTAGGGCCTTATTAGTATTACTCCTTGAACTATGAGGCTCCACTACGTGGAGCCTCATCATAGTTCTAGGAGTAGGGCCTTATATTACAAATGAAATGCTTGAAGAAGTACAACTACAAGTATGCCTACATAAGTTATACATATTATTTAGGCAGTGTATATTTTGCCGGAGACGGCAAACCTTTAGTAAACGTTAGTTTGCCGGATATGCACTGAACATGCGCAGTTACTGTTTTTTTTTTACTTAAACATTTTCCGGTGACAAGTTTTAGTCTGGCTCCATGCCAAAATTATCGTTGTTACCTCATATTCACAAGATGGGATTCAGACCATTTTATAATTTCGGACTTTATTTCCCTTTTAAAAAAATCCTCCAGAGCCACAAATCTGTAAAAGAAAATGTAATACTCTGCAAAAAATGTTTGAGATATGTTAAAATAATAAAAGAAGAATATTCTTATTTATTTGGGGATGAGAAAAAAAACCTTAAAAATGTGGTGCGGTGGGAATCGAGTGCGAGTCATCCCACTTACTAGAGCCTTTGCTTAACCACTACACCAAACGTGCTACACAACTTTTGGTGGGAATTTAATACATCTTATAATTCAGCCCTATCTTAAAGAGTACAGCGCCCTCTGGTGCTATGGATTGCCGCCGGCAAACCGCTTTAGCATGTTTAGCTTTAGTGATCGTTAGTTTGCCGTCATTACCTCCGGCAAAATATCCACTATCTATTATTTACAGTCTTTAATGGTAAGTGATGTTCACTACGATGACAGGTAAAGACATGAGAGCAGAGTGAACAAGTCAACAACCAACAACCAACAAAACAAAGCAAAAACCGGCATCACCCTTCAACTTCAACAAAACATGTTCAAGTTGGCAAACTTGTTTCATAACGCGACGGCAGCTGTTTTATCTCCCGCTACCAGCTTACATGTTTCCATCTGATACTTAGATATACACTCATAAGTCATACACACTAATTTAACAACAGAAACATGAGAAAAGGCACCTCGAATTGTCCATCGAGTCGTCAAACAGACGTGATTCATGAGCGCCATTCCGTTCAAATGGCACACTAAACGGTATGGTACCCACAAATACATTGATCAAAAGACGTGTTCGTTCACTGCACATTCGGCGCCAGACTACAACCCAGCTGGAGCAAACTGAAGAGGGCGCTAGATATCCCGTAATTAATTGATTAATCATTATTTTGGCTGTTAAATTACACGAAGCGAACATTAATTTTCTTGGTCGGCAGTGTTCTGTTTCCAGAACATTGTTCTCTTGAAAATTGCTATTTTTTTCGTCCGGTACCGAGTCAAACTCTTCAAGCTATAATGGGCCTAGTCATACGACGGTTGACCTGTTTTCTATTAAATTTCTAATGGTAATGGACCATTTTCTCCCATCCAATTTGCAGGCTCTGTGACAGTACATAATCATAGCTCACTGAAGCTCAGTAACATACGTAAGGGGTTGAGGCATGAGACTTGCCCCCCTCGGGCGTTCGAGGACTATCCAGGCCCCGTCGCTGAGGGGGCCACGGGGCCGAGCAAAACCGTAAGCGTAAAAATTAACCACAATCCTCCGTCGACAGTGGCGGGGGGGGGGGGGGGGGGCACACCAGCATGGTATGATGGGGGTTTCAAGCCACCGCAAGTGCTGCAAATTCGAAAAGCGGAGGTATGGGGGTGGGGGCTGGTCCTCTTTTAATGTTTTAATAATTTAAACAATACTTTAACTTGACAATAATTCCTTGGCAATCGGGACATTTCAGATATTTTGGTGGGTGGGGGGGGGGGGCCCTCCCCCTGGCAACGCCATTGCCCCTAGTGTGCCCCCTCCCCAATTTGAGTGAAAGAAATAAAATAAGCTCTTTACTTTTATTAAAAAATGTTCCGCCCCCTCCACCTAGAACTCCATTCCAGTCAGGGCCTATTGTACTTCAATGCTAAATTAAACCGAGAAAGCTTGATGGCCCGATTCATTCCCGGTATTAGTCAGCAAACGAGGCCCAGCCTCATTCAAATTGAATCTAAACAATAGACCCATATACCTTTGATTGCACAGCATACGGTACTTCGAAGTGTTACCATGGATACTAAAGCTCAAACGATATAATCGGACACGCACGACATGAAAAGCATATGCAATCATATTCCGAACCATCACCGACTGAAGAAGCATCGAAAGTTAAAAAGATTGGTCAACCAATAAAATGAGAGAGCGCAATGTGCTCTGCTATACTAGTCACAGCACAGGTCCGGATACCTGTGGTTGAGCTCAGCGGGTGCCCATCGTAGCTGGCAATCGTACTGTATGGGCCGGGACCTCCAGAAGCATTACACAAATCTTGCAAAAGGGTCGAGGAAAATGAATTATTGAACTCCAGTCTGGATGATATAAGTGCAGAGTTTTAAGCTCACGGAACATTTCGTTCCGCACGAATCGTGATACAATAAACCGAGATCGGTAAGTGGCAATTTCTTTTGAAAAATTACGAACATTCTTTCAGTTATTGAATCTAAACTTTCAGACGTAAAGGTTTGTCAATCTTTTCTTTTTCGATGGGGTGCCTTTTTTGCCGGGGGTGGCCATTGGCCTTTGTTAAGTTTTTTAACTTCGCCGAATTGAGGGTGAATTTGCCACCTTTTTGTGTATAGTGTTTTCTCCTTAAAAATAAAAGTGACAGTTAATTCAGTCGCATTATCTTTTTTTATCTTTAGGCCTGAATACAGAACGCACCTGTGCCATGACGAATACCACGTATGAGTCAACCACCGGTTTTGATTTAGATCCAACAGATGATTCTATCTCGCCCGGTGATGGGCAAAACTCTGACGCTGGATGGTCAGTGGGAGGTCTAGCCAACAGTCCCGTAGTACGCGCGTCCTACGGTACCATTAGCGTCATCGGTATCGTGGGTAACCTCCTAGTCTGCTTCATCTTCTTTAGGGTCCCCAGTCTCCGCACGAGCACCAGTTACTTCCTGGTTCATCTCTCAGTGGTCGATCTTCTCTCATGCATCATGGTTATACCCTCCCATCTCTTTCCGGACCCCCCGCCCATGAAGGGCCGCTTCGGCGACTTCGTCTGCCGCTTCTACTTCAGTAAGTACCCAATGTGGACCTTCATCTTGGTCTCTGTTGGAAGCCTAGTCCTGATCAACCTGGAGCGCTTTGTGGCCATCGTCTACCCTCTACGCTACAAGTCCTTGTACACTCTGAGGAACACCATCCTGATGATCGCCGCTTGTTGGCTCTACTCTCTCGCCCACAACTCCTTCTTCTTCGCTGTTTATGCCTTCACCGACGAGACGGGCTGCCAGTATGTCGGCTTCTCAAGCGATACCGTGAGGTTTGTTTTCGGTGTCTACCATTACTTCATCTACTACCCCGGACCGTTGGGCTTCATGATCGCCACCAACTGCAAGATGGTCCGGAAGCTGAAGCAGCAGATCTCAAAACTCAATCAGCAAAAAGGCCGTGCAGGTAATGGCAAATCTCAGACAACAATTTTAAGAAAGCCCTTGTAGTCATTTATTTATTATAGAATAATCAAGCGAGTTAGACATGCATAAAAGAGTTGCACTGTTCAAAACGGACGAAGAAGTCTAGGGTTAGACTATTTTCCCAAAAAGATTAAGGATTGAACAACGAAGGCAAAGAAGACTTTACTTGCCATGTCGAGTTGGACCCGGTTTGAAGGTCTCAGATAATATGACATTACGATAACTCGACTCAGTCAGTCAGTTTGCCATCCATAACTTAGGCGTAGCCAGGGGGGGGGGGGGGGAGGGGGTATTTAACCCCTTCCCCTAAATACTTTCTAAAGATTGTCCTTTTCCATTGAAATGCCTTTTTTCCACCAGCTCTTACCCCCCCCCCAATATTTTGGTAGGAGTGCCCTTTTTATTAAGAACTGCCCTTTTTGTTCTGAACAAGTGCCCTTTTTAAAAAGAATTAGTGCCCTTTCTGTGCTAGCTGCCGTTCGGGTGCCTTTTTTGTTTAATTTGACGCAAGTATCGCCCTGAATTGCCCAAAAATATTGTCTGTAGGGTCAATAATTGTCTGTAGGGTCAATAATGGTCGGTTTTGAACAGCGCCCCTACCGACATATGGTACCTCCCCCCCCCCTCCCCCACTTTTTTATTTTACGGAGGCCAAGTGTCCGGGGAAAAAACGGGCTTACATTTTACGACGGATGTGCAAGTGCCCTTTTCACAAAAAATTACCCACCCCCACGAAAATTACCGTGCTACACAACTGCATAGGAACTCGGACTCGACTCAGCCAGTCAGAGGATAATATGAATTTTTGCAAAATTTGATGTATGGTATATAAAGTCTTGCAGTGAAAGTACAGGCATTGGCACTTTCTTGATTTGCGCAAGACGCGGTATAAATTGTTGTAAGATGCTTCATCCCTGTCGGTGGATCTCTGACCAGGTCACGTATGTACTAGATACCCAAAATGAATACCTCCGAGTTGAGAGAAGCAACTGTTTGAGAGACACAATGCTGGGGCGAATCTAGCATTCAGGAAACGGTGATGAATGGATTGATAAGGTGGGGATTTGAGTGAAGGCGTACCGAAGGCACTGGGCCTATGGGCCATACGATGCTTTCTACTATGAATTATGTTTGGCCCTTTTTACTAGTATCATAACGTATTAGTCAGCGGCTGAACTGGGTGGGGTGGGGGTGAAACTCCCCCCCCCCCCACCAGCTCTGCAATGTGCCTTGGCAGATTCCCATCAGTTTTTGAAATGTTCAAGAGGACAACAAATCTTTGGTAAGCCGTTCGGGGTTATTTTCATTCAGGTATGGCGGGGCAGCGGGAGCTGTGGCAGGCCCAGGCGGCCCACGAGCTCCAGAAGACCCTCCTGTTCGTGGTCATCACCTTCGGCATCCTGTGGGGACCCAACCAGACCATGTTCTTCTGCTTCCTGATGACGGCGCCCTTAGACTTCACCCAGGCCTACTACCACGCCGGGGTCATCATCGGCGTCTGCAACTCCTGCGTGAATCCCTTGATCTACACGCTCAAGAACAAGGCCTTCCGGGACGGCCTGAAGGGGCTGGCGGGATGCTGCCGGGCCAACAGGGTGGAAGATCTGACTGAAGCCACGGCTACCGGGTCTCTGGCCCTCACTCCGGAGGCGGAGGGGAGAACGGCAACTGATCACGAATAATACTTTTTACTTTTCAGTTTGCAGTACAGATCTATGTACACAGTGGTTATTCAGGGTGAGCAAAAACAAACGAAACCCAAATGTCGGGACTATTGTTTTATTGAAGTTCTGCATGTGTAGCACTTTCCACATGCATCTAGGTCATGAAAGCCCAATTTATAAGCTTTGTTTTAGTACAAATCACTCATGTACTTTTCAAGTTACGGAATTTTAAACACAACCACCGTTTAAAGTTCTGTCCACGGGAAAAGGTATGCGTTCTTTCAGCAAAACGAAAACAATTCACAAACATCCCCATGTGATTTGTTTTCGTTTTGCTGAAAGAACACTGAACTTTTTTGTGATCCGTGGACAGAACCTTAAAACGGTGGTTGTGTTTAAAATTCCGTAATTTGAAAAGTACATGAGTGATTTGAATGATTCTTGTACGAAAAGAAAGCTTATGAACTTGAAAAGTACATAAGTGATTTGAATGATGCTTGTACTAAAAGAAAGCTTATGAATTGGGCTTTCACATCCTAGATTTTGAAAGTGCTACATGCAGAACTTCACTAAAACAATGGTCCCAACAATCGGTTTCGTTTTTTTGTGACTCACTCTTTAACAAAATGCATTGTATATTGAGATTCATATTTAACCAAAACGTAACTTTAATGTAAGTTGGTTTGAAATAGTATCATGAAATTGTATTTAGATACAACGTGAATTTAATATCAGTCAGACAAAAATTGTCTCACGAGATTCTATTTAAACGCAATCCAATTTAATGTAACAAGGCAAAAGTAGTCGGATGAAATTGTGTTTAAATATAACTTGAACTTAACAGACTAGGCCAAAATAGTCCTGATGAAATTCTCTTGCAAAACAACTTGAATTTAGTGTAAAACGGCCAAAACTAGTCAATAAAATTCCGTTTAAAATGCAAATTGAATTTCATGTGAATAGGTAAAAAAATATTCCGATGAAATTCTATTTCAATACAACATGAACTTAATATAAATAGGCCAAAAATGGTCGGAAATAAGTCTCTTTAAATACAACTTGAATTTAATGTAAAGCGGCCAAAAACAGTCTAATGAAATTGTATTTAAAAAAAATGCAAATTGAATGAAGTGTAACTAGTAAGAGTAGTCTGATGAAATGCTATTTAAATACAATTTGAACTTAATATAACTAGGCCAAAATGGTCCAATGAAATTGTCTATAAATACAACTTTAATTTAATGTGAAAAGGCCACAAATAGTCTGATAGAATTCTCTTTAAATACCACTTGAATTAAATGTTAATAGGCCAAACTTGTCTAATAGGCCAAAACGGTCTGATGAAATTCTCCAGAAATAGAGTTTTAATTTAATCTGAAAAGGCCACATATAGTCGAATGCATGCAATGCTCTATAAATACGACTTGAGTTTAATGAAAAGCGGCCAACAATAGTCCAACGAGTTTTTTTTAAATGCAAATTGAATTCAATGTAAATGGAAATTGAATTAAATGCAAATAGGCAAAAGTAGTCTGATGGAAATGCTATTTAAATACAATTTGAACTTAATATTAATAGACCAAAAGGTCTGATGATATTCTCTTTAAATACAGCTTTAATTTAATCTGAATAGGTCACAAACAGTGTGAGGCAATTCTCTTTAAACATAATTTGAATTTAATGCAAACCGGCCAAACCTGTATGATCATACAAATTACTTTAATATAATGTAAATAGGCCAAAAATAGTCTGATGAAATGTTATCTAAAATAAATACAACTTGAATTTGATTCAAATAGGCCAGAAATAGGCTGATGAAGTTCTATTAAAATAACAAACGAAATTAAATGTAATCAGGCCTACAAACGCAAAGTAGGGCTTGTGTTGGCTGGTTTGAAATCGCGCGTTTTTAGGGTGGAGGTAAACCCTAAAAAAAAATTGTCCACAAAGGTTTAGAAAAATAGTACTAAACATTATTATTCTCAAATATGATGTAATAGTTAGTGAGGGTTGATAGTTCTAAAATAGGATTTTGCCCTTCATATTAAATGTATGGCAAAACCCTATATTAAATTTGCATCTCCCCAATACAAAATACCGTCATAATGATAAAAAAATATTTCATATTTTGTACTTAAATTATAATATTCTCTGAATAACTATTATATATGTAATATATTTCACCCCGAGCACGACAGAAAATCATTTGCCCTATCTAGACGTAGGATATAGAAAGATTACTTTCTTGACGGTAATGGTCGCCGTTACCTTTTAAAGAGTATTACATAAATCCGCAGAGTATATGTAAAGTCAACATCTAAAAGGTCTTACGCATATAGTTGTACCTAGACCATTTTGCTTTGTTTTTCACCACGCACGCGCAATCAGATGGACCTCATACAAGATCAGCAACCAGATAAATTTCTTTGACAGATCTGGACAAGATTTAAGTGCAAATTCGGTGGTTAATGCATTGGCTAAATTGTGTGTTTACACAGGGTATTTGCCGAAGACTTACAGGCTAAAGTGTCCGGAACGCAAGTATGGTTTTTTTTGTCCGAAGTACATGGAGTCCAAAGTAGCAGCGATGGAGTTGGGAGGAATAGAAACTGGGATTTGTTCCACTGAAAATATGACGTCAATCTTTTCCAGCCGTGACAATAAAAAGGCGGGTAAGGTACTGTCCTAATCAGAATTTCTGGAGGGTCGTTCGGTAATTTGCTTCCTCAATCACAGAACAAGATGAAAAAAAAGGCAAACTCCGGACGCTGGAAATTCGAAAGGCAGTAGCCTGTACAGCGTCAGACGCAAATTACTTTAGTTCATATAGAAACCTGCGCCCTTCCGCTTTTTTTCGGCCATTCCAGGCTGTTGCACCGTTAATTGTAAATTGAATTCAAATTGCTTGAGCCTCGAGGAAGTATTTGATTGAATGAAAAAGTTCCTTTGTGCTTACGCATCCCTGGTTACAGACCTCGTTTTTTCAATACCTTCATAGTGAAATGCATTCCCAGCCTTTCGCCCGGCCTGAAAGACTTTCTATATAATACTTGTATTAAAATTATCTGGGGGTCCCCCTGGGGGTTGGGGGGGGGGGTAGCACTGGGGAAGGGGGTTACTTAGAAACTAGGTCCTACCCAAAGGCCATAGAGTTCCCGAATTTCATATAGGGCCTACCATAAGCTACACCCAACGTTCCTCTAATTCGCCAATAGACCGAATGCAGTGGCATTTCTTAGGGGGGGGGGCCTTGAAATCCAAGATTATTTTCAGTCAGGGTGTGCAGTGTTGCTGCAGTCAACGTATAAGACGACCCAAGGCCTAAAGCAATTAATCAAGATTTGAAACATGACATTAACAAAACTGCTGCAAAACTGCTTGCTGATTATATTGACTTGAAATATACAAATTACACAAAATTAAACATTTGGCTGAAATGACAGATTGGAAAGATTTGACATAAGTGTAAAGTTGTTTTTAATGAACTCAAGAAACATATTGGTCAGTCGGAGGCGGGAAGGGTAGGGAGTGGTTGGCTACCCAAACCGCCCCGTGGATCTACCATTACAAAGCCTGTTCAACCCTATTGGAAAACAATTGGAAAACCTCAATTCAATGTTTTAAAAAAATAATGTCGGCACCCCACAATACCCTGGCTCCTTACCCTTTTGAAAGGCGTTCCTCCTAAAGTGATGTACAAAAAGGTTTCCCTTTTTTTATGGAATAATCCACTTAAATTTATATATTGATGGTAAAAGGATAATCTTGACGGAAACTCAATTGCAACAGCACACTCAACCGATACTAGTAAATATTTGCGTTTACATCCACTTTTCCCGCAGCTGAATATATTTGTATAACAGACCTCAACCATTCGAGTTTGTTTTGTGTAAACTATCTGCTCTCAGTGTGCCTGAAATATTCATCGTGGTTTTAGAATCACCTCAACGTCACCAAGTAGTTCGCTAGTCATTTTAAACATGCATGTAATTACACGACGTATAAACAATTGCTAAAAAGTATAAATTGTTTTTGCTTTTGTAATAGCCGCCAGATGTTAAATCAAAATACATGTAGTAATTTGAAGGAAAAAAAGCCTATCGGAAAAAAAACTGACTTAGCTGGAAACTGACTGCAGGGTCTACATGATTTTTTCCTTAATATTTTGTGATAAGTGTAAAAATCGTCGTATTATCTCCAACATGTATGTCACAAAGGATGAGAGCACTGTGTTATTGAAGTTTATAGGCCTACTATAAACATTGGTAACATATTTTTATATTTAACTTGAACGCTCAATATAAGTCAATATATACAATATGTCACGTTTCACCGAATGTATATAGTCTATATCGATATTCCTGGTAGTTTCGATTTTTATTTCATTACAGTGCAGTAATCATGTGAAATAAATTGTCATTTTTATTGTAAGGAAATTTTGCTGAAAAATTAGTCACGTTATTTATTTCAATGTGTTGAAGAAACTAACCGATGGATGACCGTAAAGACTAGGCTCGTTTCGAGAGCGAGCTGTTGGCTGTTCACGGAGGAAAATAAAGTAGGCCTACATCTTGAAAGAGCGGGACTCAATAATTACTACTAAAATGTCCCTAGTTTGACATCGCTCAGATGCTATGATATGGCGTAGGTGATATGTAATACAATAAGGCGTGGGTGATTTATAATGTTGAAATGTTGAGGACTAGGTGATATAATGATGAACGCCTATGGGTAATAATCATAGAGCTATATTAAATTACTAGAGCGCTAACTCGCCATTCTGCGCGCGGAGACGCTTTGAAGCCGTCCTGGGCGCAGACATTTTGAATTCATGTGCGTGTCTGTAGAACAATAATGAAATTAGATGGATTGAAGTTTGAAAGTGTTCTCTACGCTGTTCGCGTAGAGCAAAATGACACGCTCATTTGATGATCGTGCGTTTCGGTTTTGGGCGTATTGGCTTCGATAACGCACCAGTATGGAATACAAACGCAGATATGCAAATAGCCGTACAAAAG